GATCTTGACACTTCTATCTCACATTTCAACGAGTTTTCTATGATTTATGGTTCTCGAGATCATTGCGACACAAAACGACGACTTGTCATGCCTACGTCAAGTAAGTAAAAAAAAAAACTCGCGACGGACTACATAAATACCTCTGCTTCGGATCGCATTAAATAAAGTTTTCTCAGTGATGAATTTCATCATGTTGACATAAAAAATATTCAAGATTTCTCTGAATTGAAGATTTTTCGTGAAGACCCGATTCGAGCTTCGCATCGCATTTCGTATTCGAGTGAAACTTGAATACCATCTAGTTTATCTGGAAATTTTCTAACGATAAAAACCTTAGAAAATCATCATTTTTAAATGATATTTTTTGGCGAACGAAGCTTAGTATTGAGAATTTGAAACTTTCATATCTAGTTTGAATGAATTTTCTACCATTTACGGTGCTGTAGATCATCGCGTCACTTAACGAGAACTTTTTATGCGCACTCAAGTTAGATTTGATCAGAATCGTGTTTTTAGAACTATATTTGTGAGCGAACGGTAGCACGTGGAGAATTTTAGGGAAAAAATAGTACCCAAGTAAGCAAAAAATGAAGGGAGACTTCCGACATGACCAGTCAGAAATGTCCGCAGCTTCCGTCAAGCCTAGTCTGAAACGTCTTGCATACCCGTCTTGTCTACTCAACTTAATGAGGAGTGTCTTGTATACCTGTCTTGTCTACTCAACTTAATGAGGAGTGTCTTACAAACACGGATGTACTAGTCTGAAACGTCTTGCATACCCGTCTTGTCTACTCAACTTAATGAGGAGTGTCTTGCATACCTGTCTTGTCTAGTCAGCTTAATGAGGAGTGTCTTACAAACACGGATGTACTAGTCTGAAATGTCCTTGAGCCCAGTCATGTCTAGTCCGTGTTGTCTGCTGATCCAGTCCAGACTAGTAAGAAGATTAAAAAAAGAGGCTACACAGTGGATTTGAAGTGTCTTACAAACACGGATGTACTAGTCTGAAATGTCCTTGAGCCCAGTCTTGTCTAGTCCGTGTTGTCTGCTGATCCAGTCCAGACTAGTAAGAAGATTAAAAAAAGAGGCTACACAGTGGATTTGAACATCCAGCCCGGCAGTGTTCGAGATATGACGGATATACTGACGACAGACTAGGACACTGAGATAGATTGCCGTAAGTATATATGGTCTCAACTTATTTATTGGCTCCCATCCATGCATAGAAAATCAGAAACAAACCGACGTAAACGGTATTGACTAGTCTGAAATGTCTTCAACAGCTATTAGGACTGCTCTGAAGCATCTTCTTGACATCTCATGAGTCATGACTAGTCCTTTTTTAAGAAGTGTTTATTTTACTCAATGCTCACCGAATTTTTTTTCTAGCTAGAAGGGCAATTAGAGCGTCTGCTGTAATCAATAGTGCATTCGAAAAGATTTAATATGTTGCGTGCATTCCTGTCTTGAAATATTTTATTTTATTTTGCATTATCTTATATGCTAAAAGTTCAAGAGTGTAACAAAACATAAAATAGCAGAGGTTAGTATTAACAACAAAATTGATCTCGCATCTAGGAGTGCTAATTTATATTTTTTTTTGAATTGTGATAGGTAGTAATTAAAAAAAATTGAGAAGCACCTAAATCGTTTCATATTAAAATATAATGTTTGTTTATGCTAAATATCAATTGTAATAATTCTAAATTAGGCTAAGATAATTTATTTATTGGATGAATGTACAATGTACGGAGATTTGAGTATGAAATTAAATTAAAATAGTATGAAAAAATCTAGTTTCTTTCCGGAATAAATAAATTTTATTTTTATACTCAAATTAATATTTTTAAAGCCCAACTAATTAATCACACTTGCTTATAAATCAAAATATATTTGTCGAAAAAATTATGAAATCTTCTTAATTTATTTTTATTTAACGCTATCTAAAGTAATTTCGTTTCGGTAAAAGATAATTTTTATTGATACATAAAATTAAAAATTTGGAGTAAAAATTGTATTAAATAGCATCTTAGAATGTTCGTGAGTGTGCAGAATATGACTTCTCGATCATATCGCTCAATGGTTCTGGCGATGGGTAAGTGTCACATTGTATACATGTTCGAATCTAATCTTTATCCTTACATATTTCTATGCAAACTAGTCCAGACTCGTCCACTATATAAGGCTACAGCTGGTTGTATAATCGTCCCAGGCGCCCTTAATTTTTCTTTCATAAACCATTTTTGGACGAGCGACAGGGACACTCGTCACGACTACTCTTATTAGATTTTATGACTAGTCGTCAATCAGAGTACTAGGACGCGTATGTATGACGGATAAAACCTCGGACTAGCCCCAGACGAGGACTTTTTGAGACAAAGACTAGTCGAGACGGGGCGACACGACTAGAAAAAAGACTAGTCATTTAACCAGTCTTTTGCTCACTTGGGATATATGTGAAGTCGAGTCTTTTATTTCGCATATAAAGCAGTGTTTTCTGATGTTCGGTTTTTGAGATCATCGCTTCACAAGTTGCTAATATTTGATATGGACGTCGAGAAAGAACATTATTTACAGAATCGTCTCTTGTTGAGATCCAACAGGGTTCAAACTCCTGAGTGAGAATAAATATTATCTCTTGATTAAGTGAGATAATAAAAGATAGTTTCTTTCGAGTTAAATCTTCGTTATCGTTAAGTGAAGATTTTAATCGATTCTAGGTAAGAAACTTTAAAAAGTCGAAAGTTTAGTGACTTTAAAAAAAATAATATTTGAATTTTTTTTATTGTTTAGTTGTGAGCGTGACGAATAGGATCTAGAATTAAGAAAAAAGAGCTACCAATTGAGAAAGATAATGTATGATAAAAATTTTTTTAAAGATAAAGTCAATATAATGATTAATAAGAATTAAGTGATGCTGCAGTGTAAATGAATCAGAGAAGTCATTTGAAGTGAGATATCGATAGAGACTCTTTGAAAGCTTAGAGATCGATCTTGAAAACAAGTACATATTATCTGCTCGGCACTGGTACATAACGTCGCACGACACTCCGTCGCAGAACAATTCTTTTCGTTCTGTTCGTCCCTATCCATTTGTCTCTTCTCTCTTAATGAATTATTTTTTTTACGTATAACCAATAGGAATAATATAAAATAAATGAAAAATTGCAAGAGATGTGTACAATAGTGATAGATAATTAATTGTGTTAAGACATAATTTTAATTCGGTAAAAGGATCAATAAAAAATATTATTCTCATTTAATTGTGATATTGCTAAAGCTAATGAAAATTAATTCAATTTGTCTCTCGCTTCATGAATTTTAGCGTAATCTAAACTAAAAAAACACTGCTCCGCATTCTTAACTATGGGAACAAGTCAAATAAAAAATACATTTCACTTCTAAATTTTAACTTTGACTGCGCACTACCTTTCAAGCAAAATTTCTCAAATAGAAAACTGTTTCCTATGAAAGAAAAAGCAATGATACTCTAGAAACGTTACATCTATACTGAAAAAACGTACAATAATGACGAAATTTATTCTTCGATAATCAGAATCAGGATTGTAAAGCTAAGATCTCTTTGAACATCAGTCAATTAATTGAAATAAAAATCATTTATCAATGAAACTCGTTGTTATGCCAATTTATCCTTAAACCCATTTCTCTCACCACCAATATCACACTCTCATGCTCCGAAACCCGATCGTTTTCCTATTATCTAATTAAAACTCGGCTGTTCAACTCCCTCTACTCATCTCAACTAGATCAATTCTTAAAAAATTTAGCAGCCAACATAACTCTTTACATTATTTTTTTCTTCACTTTTGTTTTTTTGTTTATATTATTTTTTTCTTCACTTTTGTTTTTTTGTTTATATTATTTTTTTCTTCACTTTTGTTTTTTTGTTTATATTATTTTTTTTCTCAATCTATTCCTCATGATGTTGTGTGTTTAGTACTCACGAAATACACAGAAATTAACTGATAAGTTTTCCATTGGTTATACACAAAAGAATAATTCATTAAGAGAGAAGAGACAAATAGATAGGGACGAACAGAACGAAAAGAATTTTTCTGCGACGAAGTGATCGTGCGACGAACTGTTCTGCGACGAAGTGATCGTGCGACGAAATGATTGCGACGAAGTGAACGTGACGAAATGTCGTGCGACGATATGTGCGGTCACCTATCTGCTCTAGAGGACTCTACTTTATTATTTATATGTTTAATTTGTTAGAATAGGATCCATTTATAAATGTTGATATAAAAGCGCCTAACTTTTAGCGTTTTGATTTTCGTTTTAATTATCTCAAAATAAAATTTGATCAAAATCCTCTTTTCGGGAATCAATTTACGAGTCAACGGAAGTAGCTATAAAGTTTTTTGAAAAAAATAGTACATCTATTATCTCGATTCTTTCACTTCACGTTTTAACCAGTTTTTTCTGATGTTCGGTTGTCTAGATCATCGCGTCACAAGTTCACAATATATGATCTGGATGTCGAGTTTAAAAAAAGGAACAAAGAAAGAAAACTCGCGCAGGACTACATAAATGCTGTGCTTCGCACCGCATTAATTATAGAATATCGATGGTCACTATAGAAATACTAAACAATGACAGTATGATGATTATAAACTCCACAAGCACGTTTAAGATAGGTAGATGCGAGTAAATCAGCATGAAGTAGGCAACACATGCTAGTAAAAGGAAGTATGATATACGTAACACATTATCTGTTAATTAGATCTGTCATATACGCAGACCAACCCCCTCAGTGGATCAATGAGATTTTTCTTTTTCACATACACCTACAGCTTCAATATTGGCAAAAATGTATTTTCCTCTTATAGCCAGCCGAGCTATATTTTAAGCCTATCTACATTTGTTTCTCCATAATTCAGAAGGTGAATGTACTAAACTCATGATTATGATTCAAGTATTAATTTCTTGAAAACTAATTCTACGTCTGTTTTAATTACCATAGTATTATTGAAAAAATGTCATCATCTCCATCTGTGATCGATACACTTGCTACTACTCAAAGATTTTTAACAATCTGCGCCTATCCAATATGGATTACATTTGGAATTATCGGATGTTTACTCAATCTCGTCATATTTTCTCGTCCACACCTACGAACAACTTCATGCTCTATTTGTAAGTCTCACTACGAGAATCCATTCCGTCAGACAAGTAACTATTAGACGAAACAGACTTCAATATTTCATGCACAGTTGTACTAGTTTTCTATTATGTGTTTGTTTTTGTTTTCGCTTTAGACTTCTTTGCAGCATCTGTGGACCATTTGATGACATTAATTGTTGGCATCGGACCGGTCTTGTACACTCTCGGTGCTCCCAATCCACAACTACATTCCATTGTATTTTGTAAAATACGAGGCTATTTATTTCAAATATGTTTAATGCTTTCAAGGTGGTTTGTTGCTTTTGCTTGCATTGATCGTTATGGATTAACTTCAGAAAAAACTCATTTAAGGAATTTTTCGAAATCCAAAGTAGCCTATCGTGCTATTATTGTTATTACCATTTTCTGGTCCATTATTTGTACTCATAGACTTATATTTTATGAGATCTATGGGAAAGTATGTGGTATTGTAAATAATATGATAGCAGCTTTTTATCATAGTTTCTACGTTATTATTGGAGGTGGTGTTTTGCCAGCAACGATTATGATTCTATGTGCATGGCTTATTCGTCGTAATCTTGCGTCGAGACACCAAATACGAGCAAGGCTTGCATTAGGTGATCGTGGGAAGAGAAAGCTTGATCAACAAGTTCACAAAATATTGTTCGCACAAGTCTTTTGTTATATTATATTTACGATTCCTCAATTATGCAATTTAGTTTTCAGTACAATCTCAATTACGATTCCTCATAGATCAAGTGAACATTTAGCTATTGAAGCATTTGTTGCATTCATCGCCGAGTTTATGCTATATTTATTTCCAGTGACATCATTCTATTTATACACACTCACGTCGCGTACATTTCGGAAAGACTTAATGCAGTTTTTTCGTTCATTAATAGATCGAAATCGTCGAATTATGCCAGGACTTAGTACTACCGTTACTTGTAATAATATCGAACATCGACAAACTACGATGATTGGTTAAAAACAGTTGTCCGAAAGTGGTTGAATCCATGTCAAAATATTTAAAATTACATTTAAGACATTATTTTTATGTGAGAATACTTTTTATAAGAGAATAAACCTATTGGATTGCATTTTTTGGTGAAAACGTAACACGAATTATATCGTTAATTTAGATACAATTCATAGTTTAGATTTTTTCCATAGGGTATCATGTTTTTTTATAGAAGCTGTGAAAAAAAAATAGAACTAAGTAGATAATCATGATATTGTTAAAATAATGGCAACATTGTAATAGTTTTCAATATAACACAGAAACAACTGGTTACTATTTTTAAGAAATGTGAAATATTTATGTCCTAAAGAGAAGAAAAAATTATTCTTGCAATTGTCAAGTTATTCATAGTATTCTATATTTTAGAAGATCATTTGTTTTTTCAAAAGTAAATAAATGAGCCTTTTATTCAAATAAAAACAGAGATATAGATTCTGATATGAGCTGACAAGTATCTGCACGAAGTCATGAGTAGTAAATTTGGTAAAATATTTTTAAATAAAAGTAAATAATCGCAAAGACATGTTTTTCGTTTATCGTACCAATTCCCAGGTGAATGAATCCTATGACGGATCCTATCACCCAACAGAATACGATGGGATTCCGGGTTACGGATTAACTGTCGGTTCCGACGAAAAAAAATATTTTCTTAATTAGGGGTGAATATGCATATTTTATCATAAGAACACTAGAGTCATACGTTCATGTCAGATTCCGTTAATTTCCAACACTGGACCCTATGGAATTTCTACACCAAGGATCCGACTGTAGGTCCTGATCCCGGAATCCTATAGGGTTTCTTTGGTTTTATTGGAATTCATGGATATTTGGCATATTCACGGTCTGACCCTTGTCGGAATCCGATAGGATCCTAGTCTCGAAATGACTCTCCTGGGTTCGAGCAAAAGTAATAGAGCTCGGCTTTTGCTTTTACATAATCATGAAGAATTATGTCGCGTCAATGCATTAAAATCATTTGAAAATTTAATTTTTGTAGTTAGTAAAAATATGACGAAAAAATATCACATAATATTAAAAAATAAGCGCACTTTGTATCAAATATCACAGTAATAAATTGAATAAAAATAATAATGATTTAAAAATTAAGGTTTTCATAGTTTCTATGTCAATTTTTTTATTGCTTGTTTTTAGTATTTCAATGCCATCCTTTACTACAATGTCTTCTCAAATAGCTGACGCATGATTCTGTAAAGTTTGTCTTACGAGGGAGGCCCATCAAGTGTTCAATCCAAGGAGGGGGAAAGCGGATTTTTGGGATTTTCAAAATCCCAAAGTCCCATAAATCGAAAGCATTTACCCCTCTGTGAATGACGTAGTTTCGACCTGAAATTCTTCCCATATATAGGTTTCATGGCCCATAAAAGATCCTAAAAGTTTCAACTCGAATAAATGTTACCTTCTTAAAATATTGAATTTTCAAAAAGGCTGGATTTTCTGACCGTGCCGTGAAGCGAGTATTGCTTGCGCATTCATTATCTTGAGAAGGAAACGTCTATTTGCGCTGGAAATTTGAGAATATTCTAAGAATCATGAGACTTACATATGGGAAATAATTCAGATGGAAATTCCATCGTTCACATTTTGGATTTTGGGATTTTGAAAATCCCAAAAAGTCCCAAAATCTCAAATCCACCTTTTCTCCCTTGATTCAACCACTTTTGCGTTGAAACTATTTAGATTATGTAGCTCCCAAGGAGTTATGAATACGCTAAAAATGTTTTGGGCGGATAGCTTATTGTTACGAAAATAGGCTATTTTTATTGTATTTTTTAATTATTGCCGCAGCCACCTTCAAGAACATTCGAAAAATGATTTTCGAATTTTAACTTGAAATTTTATGTAGCAATACATCCCAACGAGGGTAATGTTTTTTGAATACTTTTGATCACTGAATTTATTTGTGTCCTTAAATCTGATACTTCGTTTGAAAGGTGTACAATAAAAATTTCACAATACCCATGTCTAACGATATAAACAGTAGAAAGGTCTGAAACGCTCACAAGAAGTTGCTCTCCTTAGCGAGTCTTTCTATGAAAAGTTTCAAGTCAAAATTCGAACATCAATTTTTTAATGCCCATGGGAGGGGGCAGGCACTCAAAAAAGCTCATACCTTAGAAAAGGCCTAGTTTCATCACAATAAGCTATCCGCCCAAAATATTTTTAGCGTATTCATAACTCATCGGAAGCTACATAATGTAAGAAGTTTCAGCACAAAAGCGATTGAACGCTTGGTGACCCTCCCTCGTTAGTTTTCTTCGGTCTACTGTCTTATTGTTCATCTAGTTCGCTCATTACTTTACAAAATCTTTGCTGAAATCTCACATAGTGTTTCTTCTACATAATTTATCGAGGGATGTCATAATATCCACAACTTGGGTATCGAGATGAATACCTAGATAGGATACCCAGTTGGATGGACATCTACGTATCCTCAGAGCTGAGGAATTTGAGTGCATTTGGTGTAACGAGAATGGGTACCGGAAATTTTCCTACTGTCAGGTCCTACTTCAAACAAATTAATATAAGCCACAATTCAAATAGCATGCATGTGACGATCCACAACAACACCAACTACACAGCATGCTACAGTTTCAACCCGATTTCCTTGAGTGATTTTGATGAAAGTCGTAATAAATTGTTATCAGGTAAAGATGAAGTTCTTCAACGAACATTTACTTGGAATTGCACGCTATCTGCAATGCTCATTAAACAAATCTGTACATATCGATAAACATTGGCATACAGCTGACTACATGAATACAATAAATTTCAACATACCATCACGTTTCCTTATTTATAATTATAAAGTCACGTATTTTTACAATAGGGTATCCATTTCCGATACCCATTCTCGTTACACCAAACGCACTCAAATTCCTCAGCTCTGAGGATATATAAAAATGGATACCCATTCTCGTTACACCAAATGCACTCAAATTCCTCAGCTATGAGGAACATGGTATTCATTTTAGTATCCATTTTAGATATCCACTTGAATGGATATCGTGACCGGTATGTCGACGATACCCAGTGTTAGGATATTATGACATCTCTGAATTTATCAGAGATGGCTGTGATTAATTAATTATTTTGTTTTTATCTTCCAAGTGTCAGGAATTTTGCATAAAATCATGCAGTTTCTAATTGATTACGTATCAATATTACTTCCATTCAATCAGACTACTATCGTACGGAAACTCTTTTATAAATTATCATGTTCTTAAGAAATTTTCATAATCAATCTCAAATGTTCAATAACATAGTGATTTTTATTATCCTAATTTCACGCACAAACTGTGTGCTATCATCTCACAGATACTGAAACTTGAGTTAGACCCATGTAATAAAAACCGCATGAAAATCGGTAGTTAACCGCGGCTTTACCGGTCCGGTTACCGGCTCTCATTACCGCAGAACGGATAAATACCGCGGTTTACCACAAAAAATGAACTGGCATTTACCGCGGTTACCGCTAAAAAAGCGGTTAACCGGTTCATCTATAATTTTTGACAGAAAAAGTCTTCCAAATCATCAATTAAACTATTTTAAAGATCCTTTTTTTTACTTTTACATGTGATAAACATGCGTAAAAAACCGCCGGTTTACCGCGGTTTTATCTCCTATTACCGCAGAACGGATAAATACCGCGGTTTACCGCAAAAAATGAACTGGCATTTACCGCGGTAAACCGCCGGTTTTGATGAATACCGCGGTTACCGCTAAAAAAAAGCGGTTAACCGGTTCATCTATAATTTTTGACAGAAAAAGTCTTCCAAATCATCAATTAAACTATTTTAAAGATCCTTTTTTTTACTTTTACATGTGATAAACATGCGCAAAAAACCGCCGGTTTACCGCGGTTTTACCGGTCCGGTTACCGGCCCCCATTACCGCAGAACGGATAAATACCGCGGTTTACCGCAAAAATTGATCCGGTATTCGCAACATGGGGATACAATAGGAATCTGTTGGAAAACAGAAAAATATTCGAGAAGCCAGCAATAGACAAAAAAATCTATCGGTGAGATAAATGTTCATTTCAAGCGGAAAAATGCCGTTCAGGTCAAAAATGAATTCTTTTCCCGTTCTGTCTATAACAGAAGACAAACTATATAAGTATAAGTCAGCATGTGTATACTAAATTTATATCGAGTACTTTTATCGCCACTGTTCAGAAAAGAGATCCGTGCATATACAACATATTCCATGCTATACAGAACTTTACAAACACCAAATATGAGTAGTTTTCATTTTCATTTTCATTCTTCACATTCCTTCTTTCCCATGATTCATTGAAACCAAATTTCTTATCAGCTCTTTGACATTCGTCACGCATCACCACAAAACTATGAAAGCTTTCGCTTATATCGTAAATGATTTTCGGCATTTCATCTTCATGCAAATTTACCGATCATTGTTTTAACCAAAGTCAACCAAAATCTAACCGACTGTAAACTTTCCCGACATCCTTAGTATCGTGCAAACCCATTTTTCTCTTATCGCGAATACATGTATGTTCATTTCGATTACATACGAACCCATTTTTCTTCTAAAAGAAAAATGATGTTTCATCTATCTAAACAATTTTCCCATTGAGTTTTTCATTTTTCTGCTAGCGAATAGACATGTATCCTCACTTTCGATCGCAAACTAATGCATTTTTCTTTATAGGAAAAATGATATTTCATTTATCGAAACTATTTTTCCCATTCATGGGTTTTTCATTTTTCCGCTGCAAATTCATTTTTACAGTGGTGTGACGTTATTGGGGAAACGGTATATTTTCGATACTGTTTATTGTTTAGTGTGTATCGTAAGTTTAGTTTTTAAGCACTTTTGACCTGAACGTCATTTTTCCGCTTGAAACGGGCATTTATGCCACCGATCAAATATTTGTCTAACCCTCACTCCGGGTAAATGTTTTTAAAGGCAAAAATCAATTCCGAACACCTCAACGGATTACCGGGTGTCCGTGACATTGGTACGAAATGTCTTCGTGCCTAAGCATGCATACATTTTGTTTCGAACAATCTTTCTTCAATTGATAATAACTACATGATAGTGAATTTACGTCCCATGAATATTTCCGTGATCAATAATTGTTATTTATAGCAACATCGACGACAAATTGTGATGGATAATAGTCTTTCAATAATCAAAATACTCTGTGGTACCATTTTAATTTATTATACACATAATAGTTTGCAGTTCAATCGTTTATAGATTTTGATTATAGATGAGTGCAAATGGAATAAAACATGATAAGCAGATTAGTTTTTAATTTCTTTCGTTTTCTGCTTCATATTCTCATTGAGAAAGTCAATATTTGAACTGTTCGAATTGACATGTGCTTTAATAGTTTCATTATCCTGGAAAAATTTAGTCTCACATCCAATACAAATATTTGTTCGCACTTTTTACATTGGGAATGCATGACGCTCGATTTATTACAAATATTTTAATTACATCTATACAGCACGATTTTGAATACTCCCAACACATGAAATTTCTTGCTAATTACTATTATCTACGTTTCTTCATATATATATATATCGTAGTATATTCTAAATTCTATCTTAAATTCATCACAATCTAAAGATTAGTTAGATTGCTTGATGTAAAATAATCTTGTCGATAAATAAAAAAAAGAAATGACTCAAGTGATGCAATCATTCTTTAGATTATACCTTAATAATCATTCTGGTTTGAATCAGATGAATATTACATAAAAAAAATGACTGTAATGTTGAAAAATACTAAAACAAAAGTCGGTTTAACGATCCTCTTGTTCATGAAAAAAATAGGATGCTGCTAATCGCTTCACAAATCTGCTCTTAACATTTCAAGATCTACAGCGCTATCGGATATTTGCATTTTTTAAATAAAGATTTGCTATAATAATAGTGTACGAGAATTATGATTTTTATTTCTAACAAAATAGTATCACCTATTGACGTTATATGATCAATGCATACACATTTATTAGACGTCACATTGGATGTCGTTTTTCCTGAGGAACAGATTGGAATCGGTGGAATTAAAAAAGGTTCATAGATCAATATTTGCGTATCTATATTTTTTCACAACTCTCACTGTAGCATGAACCAAGGTGATGATAAAAACTTTTACATGTTTTCTTTTGTAATATTATAAAAGTAACGACGATGACTACAACTAGCGAACCTATTGAATCATTACTTTTTTGTCTTGATAAATCAAATAATTCAAATTTAAAACAACGTCTTTCTAATTTTTCTACACGGTTTTTTGCTGATGGCAAATACTTGATAAAAAGTATATTATTAAATAAAACAACAGAGTTCAAGCCGTCGGCGCTCATTCTAACTGGAGACTTCAATTCCATTAAAGAGATTCTTGCAAGTCAACATTTGTATTCAATAAAAACTTTTATTTTTTGTCAAAATTTTGCACGACAAATCTATGAACCACTTATTATTGAATCAAAACAGATTGATCGTATTATTGGATTATTTACTACAATTGAAGATTTAAAAGATGCTCTCGAAGATGTATTAATTCGTCAAACACGCGATCGACAACTTATTCGATTTATTACGGGTAATTTAGAATCATATTTATGGTATGAATTTTTAAAAGACACATCATCGAAAATCGATACAGGTCCTTATAAGCAATCCAGCGATCTATTTGATATTAACAGACAACTTGAATATGATCCTTTAGTTACTTTATATACACTTCGTTCATCGATTCATCATTTATCTCGAAGAAAAATTTTACATAAGAAAATCTTCTATGGAACTGTAATAAAGAAGACGTTAATCGAAAAACTTCAATCGAATATAGATAATATAATATCGTTTAATTCATTTGTTTCTCTTCAAGGCCATAATTGTATAAATGAAGCTCGCCATCAATCAATTCAATGTTGTTCTCGTCGTAATGATGAAGCTTCAATTATTTTCGAACTTGAATCAGCCGATCAACCAACATTTAAAATCATTCGAGTTTTTGTTTGTAGTCATGATATTAATTTATGGATTGTACAATTAGTTGGTACACATGAATGTGTTAAATTATCAAAACAATTTTCTTATTTTAAACGTGCTACTATGACATCAAATCAATCTCAACAACCGGAAATTTTATTTGGAGAAATTTTAATTGCAATGGATGAAATAGATAAAGCTTATACGTTTTTTTTTCAAATATTTATTAAACAATACGATCAACTTGATAGTATTTATAAGACAGCAAATCAATTATGGGAAAATGAAAAAAAATATGCTGAAGCTATTTCACAGATTACAACACAATTTCAGCAAATTAAATCGATAACGTCAACATATAAAACCGGAGATAAAGAAAAAGATGAATTAAGATTTTTAGAATCTGAAATCGATTCAACATGGGAAACACCAATTGCATTGCAAGATGCTAGTAAAATAAACGAGCTTTTAGCACCTATATCTTATCAAGTTGATCAAGTATTAGGTGATGGAAATATTTCAAAACGACCTATGTCAGTACCTGAAAAACGATGTTGTACTTTGTTTTGAATTCTTTTCTATTTCGCTATTTCTCATTTATATATTTACCAGTATTTTCCATAAATCACTTTATGAATGATGACATCGGAGCTAGCAGATCCCTTTTTTTATGTACAATAAATTTTAATGTTACAAATATATATGGCAACCAAACCAAAGAATAGATAAAGGCATATATTTTTCCACACGTGTCAATGAATTCTTATCGAGGACAAACTAATATTCTACAAACAAAAATTATCAAGAAAAATTTTCCTTCTTCAAAATCAGTATACTGCATAACTAATCAGTTGATATAATAGTCGGTGTCTGTCAGTTCAGGAAAAGTTACAATAAACTTATCTCAATCTCTTAGGATAGTGTTTTATTTTTTATCTAAGTTTCATCAACATTTTGATTTTTCTATTCATACGAAAGATTACCGCGTCATTCGATATATAATTTTGATATATGTTTGATTCAACAAACGAAATCATCATAAATACCTTAGTTGCTCATACGTGGTGCAATGTAGGTGCTTCACCTTCTTGCGACTGACAACGTGGCAGAAAGAAAAAAAAATTTTTACATGGTTAGACTCATTTTTTTACATTAACCGCCTCTCACAATTTCTACTTACATCGCAGGAAAAATAAAGAAAACTAAGTTACCGTTAAATTGTGTAGAGAAATTTTTACAATAATGACAAGTTTTAATTGCATGATATTTCTTATCAGTATTCTATGGTTATCAACGAATGTACTATCGGACAATGATGTTGATCTTTTACCAAAATCAATCGATAAACTTAAAGACTACTATGATGTTATTAAAAATTTAGAAAAACGTGGTATTTTAAGCAAAGTTATTGCAGCTAATGAAAAGCGTTTATATGTTGAGCATGCAACAAAACTTATTGGAAGAGAAGAATTATTAACTGAAGAAGAATTCCTAACATGGAAACAACGTCAATTGATTGTATCATTTTCCAATGTAGTAGCTATTATTGCAGGTGCTATTGTTGTTATAGCTTTAACAGTATTACTTGGTTTCTTTCTAGTACCATTATTCGCTTATATATCGGCTATTGTTTGGGAAATACTCTTCTATGGAATATCATTCTGTTTGATGATACTGGTTGCGAAATCATGGTTAATTTTCCTCGGTTGCTTAGCATTTGTTACAACGCTCTCATTTACAATTAAATTTCATTTCTCAAGGAATAAACATGTTGCTTTGGTAGCATCTTGGATATGTTTTTTTGCTTGGACTTTTGTAGCTATTTATCAACAAAATCGAGAAGCAGGCTATTTAGCTGTTATGGCATTAGAATCATCCTTAGGTTTTGTAATATTTGTTGGACAATTGTTACTGATTATTGGATTTCAAGATGAAAAAGTTATTCCATGTGCTACGATTGCTTCATTTGTTTTAATTATTCTTGGAAGTATTTTACATATTCAAAAACAATCAAATATATTGGCAGTACCATTTTCTCGACCATTATTATTTTTAGGAACGTTCGTTTATTTTATTGGTTTATTGATTTTAAGTTCTCGCTTATATTCGGACATACAATCGAAAACATTGCGATTTTGGCTAATGCAAATTATTGCATTTTGTAGTGGATTAGCAACACTGCTTTTCGGTCCAATGCTCGAATTACCGTTCATTCAAGCGATTGGTGGAACAATGTTTGTTATATGGTTATTGGAAAAATATGTTGAAATTGCACCATGGAAAAATACAACTACAGTTGCTGGTAGTATGTTTGGTTTTGGAATACTACTATACGGATTTGCATACGTTTTACAAAAGAATCCACAGTATTTTATTTTTCATGTATACTCTTCAGAATGAATATTAAAAGCAATTTGTTTTTTTTATTTAAGTAAACTAATCGAGACGAAAAAAGAGTTAGTCTACATATGGATCAATATACAAACATAGAACCCCATTCATGCACAACTAGACCACTTTCTGATAAATTTTCAGTATTAATAACCTTTTGAATTTCATTTTCTAATTGATCAAGTGTTGAAATTTCACTATCATTTGTTCCAAAGCCAAAAATAAGAAAGGCACGCACCAATTGCTGAGGCAGTGGTCGGATGGTTAGTTGCGCTGATTTTGAATATATTTGTGGAGAAAGAAAATGAAATAAAATCTTTTCTTTTTCATGTTCAGGATCAGCTTCATCCAATTGAGGAATCACATATGTAATTAAATCCTATGTGGAAAAAAAGTAAGAAATTCAAAGAATGTTTTCTATTAAAATATACTTATAAATAAATACTAACATCACGATCTTCAGATGACAGGGTCATTTTTTTCAAAAGATAATTAAGAACTCTACCAAAATCATGACGTGGAACACATAAATTCTCTGGCTGAATAAAATTATATGATGAATCGACTGTTAACGCTTCCCAAAATAACATTCGATATTCTTTTTCATCGTCAATTATTGGATAAAGTCGATCGATCATACATGTGTTTTTTTCCTGTTCTTGGAAAATAATTTTTCCATCTGGATACACATTCATATTATTCCATTGTAAAAACGTTCTACCATCTGTTATTGATGGTTGTGGATAAATACTTGACAATATCCACATATGAAAATTAAGTTCAATGCCAACACGAACATTATTAATGATTTGATTATTGATGGATTTTAGCCGAATAACAGGTTTACGAAGTCTTAAAACAAGAAATAAAATGCTCTCATTTGAAATGCTATAGTCAGACAATGTTCTATCATCTGAGAGTTGTTTCCCACCGAAAATCAGTTTTTGTTGTTCAGTAGGAATACCTTCTTTATTTTTTATTCGTTCTTTGATTACAGCAATCGTATCCCTGTTCAGAAATGCATTGATAGTAACCAGTTTACCAGTTAAAGTTTTAATAAAAATAATTTCTTTTAGTGAAGATAATAGTGGCATAGGTTCTATACGATAAGAAGACCCGTTAGTTGTATTCGTAAGAGTTTTAGAAAGATCGATCGAAACTTGTACATTTCCTTCGGAGGCTAGTTGATGAGTATCAACTTCGTCATGTTGAAGAAGTTCTAATTCAACCATTTTTCGAAAGATATCACCCACAGTAACACGACTATTAATACTAATTATAAAAAAATACACAAATTAAATTCATTTTTTTTCTGATAACAGTTACACAGTAATTCAGTAGCTAAAAAGTCAATCAACTTACTATGCATCATAATTCTTGTTCTTATGAATTAATGTAATAACGAATAATTCAGGTATAACTAATGGGTCTTCGCAATGATCGATTCGAACATCTCGTAGATCGATTGTACATTTTGCAAGTTTCGCTTTGTTTGTTTGAGCATCGAGTTGCTTGTGAAAATCCTCAATTTTAGTAGTAAGCGTATCGCTCGATGAACACATTTTTGTGATTGGTGAAAAACGAAACTGTCAGTAGTTTACAATCGACAACAACAATATTTTTAATAGCAAACTCAAAATGAAAGAGAACAAGTGAAATTTTTTCTTGACAGCACATGATGCAATACTACATGTATTGGTTAAATTATATTCATCAATATAAACCGCATTAATCTATATTGACACACATCAAATATCAAGCTTTAGATTAGAGCAAACATTTTGCTATTCAGAAGATGTCAAGGTCATCGTCCATTTACTTTCTATAATTTAAAATAATTATTTCTTCAAAAATAAAATTCCGTCCCGATAGAAGCATTTCATAAATTAGTAGGAATTTAAATAACTTTATTGGAAATAACTAATCCAGTGAGTCATACAAAATTATTCAACCGTTACAAGTCTTAAATAATCAAGAAAAGGAAATCGAAAGACTAGAATCTCACACTGATCGAATTCGAGTCATCAATTATACTATTGCAATACAAAATGGAATAGAAGAAGTCAACTTATTCGCTACGCTCCTAATTGATCGTACTAAAATCTACCTCAGTATATGAATACCCACGCCAGCATTGTAAAATACGTCTTACGATTGCTTACCTAATCAAGCAGTCAAAAGTATTTCATTTTGCAAATATGGATGATACGAAAGCGATTCATCTCAAAAACTTTACGCAGATATAATATATATATCAAAACGTCGAGATGTGGAATATTTATAAAACATAAAAGTAACGAATAAATTTTCATTATTTATTGAAAAATCTAAAACGAACAACATGCAGTGCCATAAACTCGATTTTCACGTGAATTAATATTTATACAATATTCACTTTTAATCCATAACGATCTAGAATCACACGATCGACTTAAACTTGAATCTTGAACATCTAATAATGATGATGGATTTGATTCAAGAAAAGGTTGAAAGACATTTTCATCTAAATAATCGATACTTGTATTGTAAAGTCGCAAAAATGTTGATCGATTACGTAAACGAGTCAACGATGTCGATTCGAAACTATAAGAATCTATCATTGAACCACCAATGTCAATATATAGCATTTGACTTAGATCATCGCTAACTATTCTTGAAATTCTATTCATAGCCAATGAATATTTACCAATTTTTGCTAATAAAGGTGAAAAAATTCTTAATGATGTTAAACTTGGTGCATGATAAAATGAATATTTTCCAATGTATTCGATTGGTTGAGATGTTTGTTTAAAATGAGCACCAAACCAAATGTATCGTAGGTGAGTATTATTAAATGCATAATCAGGAATAGATTTTAATTTATCATTTTCCATGCTAAGAAATCTTAAGTTTGTAAATTCTCTTATCAAACTAAACAACGTTTTACTATCTGATAAACTTGTGTTGACAGTTCGAAATACTTCAATTTTATTTCGTGTATTATTAAATGCATTAACATCAATTGAATTCAATAATGGATTTTGATATAGAATAATATTTGTAAATGTAATATTTCCAAAAAGATTTCTTGGTAAATGCTTCATTTTTGTATTATGTAAAAGAAAATCATTGAAACTTGTAACATTATTTGTTTTCTGGCCTGCTGTTAATAATATAGCACTAAGTTTAACAAAGAAAGAACGTAAGTCGAACAATGAATTTTCAATATGTTCACATACAATTGATTTTGAACGAATAGGAATTGATTCTATTACAGTTAGATAGAGTAAAACTGGATCATTTGATGAGTTGCTTTCAATACATGAGCAGGGTCCTTTTAAGAAATTCGATGGGCATTGACTATCAGCATAAGCGAAATATTGAATAAGAAGAAATAATTTGATTGAGAATATTTGAGAATGATACATATTGAAAAAGTTTTCTATTGAGAGTAATACTCGTTAATACACAAAACAAAAAGTCTCAGTGTAATATAAAAATAATGATTTCATTGGAGTATATAAATACATGAGTAACATAATGTTGAACGGAAGTAAAAAAAGGGTGAAATGTGATTAATAGTATGATATGATCTGTTTTAAAAAGGATTAATAGTTAAGCTAAAGGTAAGGACAATTGATTTTGTATTCATGGACAATCTATTTTGAGACAGACATAAACGAAAATTTTTAATTATTTAGATACAATTATTATTAGCATCGCAGAGTTTTTTAGGAATAAAATTTTAATTTATTAATCAAATATTTAACTCGTAATATTTTTGTTTTGTTCATTTCGAAAAGAAAATTAAAACACTATTTTAATATACTGATGAAGTTCATTAAACATTTGATCATCGTTTTTTTTTTAAACTATTATTTACTTCAAATCATTTATAAGAAAAGAAAATACTATTAGCCATCAACAAATAAAAGAATTCTTTTTATTTCTTCTCCTTGTATTAAGATCAACTTTATACATTGAGTATTTCCTTTCTTCAATCTACTAATCCGTTGCGGTGAAATAACAAAAAAATTTTCAATATGTGATCATTTATCTTGTTTATATTCAATGAGCACAATGTCATGAGAGAAAAACAGATTGACAAGGATTTGTAGTATTATGAACAGGATAAATTTTGCCAATGTTAATTACGATGTCTATTTTTACATCAAACGATTTCTAGTTTTTGAATTCTCTAACTAAATTGATTCAAAGGCAGCGTATTTTCCTTGAACATGTCTTTTGATTTTGTTCAATAAGATCTTAATTCAATGTACATATTTTTTCATGTGCACTGTTCTTTTAAGCGCAACTGCAAATTTAATTATATCTATGAAAACAATAAAAATCTGTGCGTCGAATGATATTTTATTAGTTTTTAAATTAAATGCATAATCGTTGCCTATTAATTATATGGAAGTTCGTGTTAGACCAATATCACCTTTAAAAGCAGAAGCGAGTTTCGAGAATAGTAGTAGTCATCATTTCAAAACATATTTCTAGTTATTTATTTTGATATGAGCTGAAAAAGAAATATTCTTGGTTTTTCTATAAGATTATGATCTATCAGTGAAAGATTTTGCCTGAGTCATGTGTCACTAATCGAAATTTATGAATCTATTAATGCTCTTCCTTGCCAAAATTCTTGTCTGACCATCAAAGTAAATGTCAAGTGACGTCTACACATATCTATTTGTATAATGTGTAAATGATTCTATTATTTATTTAGTTTTATACGACGATAGTAAACAGTTATTACGTACATCTATGAGCACGGTAGTTTTCGTTTCCACCTTTTTTTTCTATTTCGTTTTGCTGAAAACTTACAGTGGCTTTAAAAAAATGAATCATTCTTTCTAACGAAAGCCTCTCATTCTGTATTGCTCCTGGAGAAAGAAAATATTTTCAGTGTAAAAGATGTGAAGTATTCTCTGGAAGTCGTTGCAACTAGTTTTTGCAATTAAAGATTCAAAGAAGTCGCATAGAGATAGATCAGTAATAGATTCCTATGATTTCGAATTTCTTTCTCTACTAGAGTGCATATCTATAAGAATGTCTTAGATTTTGAAATCGATTTCGAATCTAATATTCATCTATATTTGAAGTAATGGAAGTTCATTTTTCTGTGTTAGTCAAATTTTTGTTTTCAGATATAAGCAGCAAAAAATAACTTCATTGGAAAGTTCAGAGTTTTTCATTTCATCAGAGTGATATCCGGTACTGATTAATAATGCATCGAAATATGATTTTATTGGACGGTTTCGTCAAAAATTAGTTGCTAAGACTGCACAGTGCTTGGTTTTTCTTTAATTTTTTCGAATTTTTGATCCATGTTGACTCTTGGAGCTAATAAAACTGAAATTGGCGCTTGATTTGCTACCGTCTCTGTGTTTGCTATAGGAAGAAAAAATAAGTTCGAACTGGATTCTTGGTATTACACTGTAATAGAGAAAACTCCAAATTTGACTTGCATTAGACCGCAAAAATTATTGCACGAAAAAAAAATTAAAAAAATACTCTAGAAATGTTAGATAATTTTCATAGATCAGTAATCGAAATGCATACTTAACGAAACGATAGCATAGAATCTGTAATTTTCACTTGGAAGAAATACTGTTCTTTTGCCAATAGCCTTGTTGGAAGTCTTACCACTAGTTCAATAAATAAAATAAAATTTTTGAAAAGAGAAATTTTTCCACAAAAGAAAAGCAGATAAATCATAGAGCTTGCATGACAATAGATCGTAGAAAATATTCAGTTGAATTTTTCTGTTGATTGATTTTGAGCATAGTTTTAATAAAAATAAACTAGACGTTTCTTACAAACAGAACACACAAGCAAAAAGAACTCCTCTCTCTCTTTCTCTATTCACAATGATTCAATTTTTTGAGAATCTACTTTTTTTTTTCGATTTCCAGTAGAGAATGATAACAACTGTAATTCTATGCACTAGAGTTCGGGGTGTAAAACGCCTATTCAACATTTTTTTCTTTTTCTCTATATTATATGTATACAAAATTCGAATGGTGATTGTAACAAAGGAAGAACAAACAGCAACAAAAGCAGCAGATAAAAATTCGTTTTTAAGTTGTCATGATGATCATTATTCGAAATGAATTCGTTATGTTTTTTTTATGTGATTCATTCCTCTGCTTTTTTTAAGGCTACTGTTGAGTTCATTCTATCTCTCTCTCTCTCTCTCTCCCTCTCTCTTTTTTTTGCTGCCTTTTTTTCACTCCCATCAACGTTGAGGTACTTCAGGCTCGTTGTTGATTCATGGCAACGAAACAAACAAAATGGTTGTCGTCGCCGTCGCCTTTGTCGTTGTATCGATTGTATTCTTTGTTCATTGCCCGACGACGGACGCTAGAAAAGGAAAGAACATGAGCTAAAAGCAGGAGAGAATGAAAAATTGTGTGTTGCATGTCGCCATAGAAACATTGCGATTCATTGGTTGCCATCAACAGACCGAGAGAACAAATGTGTATTGTGGAAGTTAGAGAGAAAAAATGAGAAAGAGAGAACGAGAGAAATTATGTCCCTATATAAAGCTTTGTGCGTGTTCGTTGTTAGTCGTTCGCCTCTCTCTATCGTTTTCTTCAAACATCGTTTCTTCTCTTTACTCGTCGTTCGTCGTCGAAGCAACAAACAACAAAAATGCGTGAAATCGTACATAGTAAGTCTAGTACATACAATACAAGAAAAAAACGCTATATCTTTGAAATGAAATTATAGTGCAAGCTGGTCAATGTGGTAACCAAATCGGTGCCAAAGTATGAATAGAAAACGAATTTTAAGAAGGATTGAACAATCTTTTTTTTCTCCTCATTAGTTCTGGGAAGTCATCTCAGACGAACATGGTATTGATCCAACTGGTACATACCATGGTGATTCAGATCTTCAACTTGAACGCATCAATGTTTATTACAATGAAGCTGCTGGTAAATAAATTTGACACTTGTTTTAAAACAATAAAATTTTAATATTGAATTAAACAGGTGGCAAATATGTTCCACGTGCTGTCCTCGTCGATTTGGAGCCTGGTACTATGGATTCAGTACGATCAGGTCCATTCGGTCAACTCTTCCGACCGGACAACTTCGTTTTTGGACAATCAGGAGCTGGTAACAACTGGGCCAAGGGTCACTATACAGAAGGTGCTGAACTCGTTGATTCCGTTTTGGATGTCGTCCGTAAAGAGGCTGAATCCTGCGATTGTCTCCAAGGCTTTCAATTGACACACTCGTTAGGTGGTGGTACTGGATCGGGTATGGGTACATTACTTATTTCAAAAATTCGTGAAGAATACCCAGATCGTAAGTTTATCATCGTTATGTATATGCGGTAAATAAAATTTCAATTAATCTAGGTATCATGAACACCTTCAGTGTTGTCCCATCACCAAAAGTTTCGGATACAGTCGTTGAACCATACAATGCCACATTATCAGTTCATCAATTGGTTGAAAATACTGATGAAACATATTGTATCGACAATGAAGCCTTGTACGATATTTGCTTCCGTACATTAAAACTTACAACACCAACATATGGCGATCTTAACCACCTCGTCTCGGCCACCATGTCTGGCGTTACAACATGTCTTCGATTTCCTGGTAAGAACAGTCATAACCATTAGTTAATTTGTATTTATTCTATTTTATTTTCTTAAGGTCAACTCAACGCTGATTTACGTAAATTGGCTGTCAACATGGTACCATTCCCACGTCTTCACTTTTTCATGCCTGGTTTCGCTCCACTTACATCACGTGGTTCACAACAATACCGTGCTTTAACAGTACCAGAACTCACCCAACAAATGTTCGATGCCAAGAACATGATGGCTGCCTGCGATCCTCGACATGGTCGATATCTTACAGTTGCTGCTATCTTCCGTGGTCGCATGTCAATGAAGGAAGTTGATGAACAAATGCTCAACGTTCAAAACAAGAACTCATCATACTTCGTTGAATGGATTCCAAACAACGTCAAAACAGCCGTTTGCGATATTCCACCACGTGGTCTTAAAATGTCGGCAACATTTATTGGTAAAATATTTTACATAGAAAAATGCTTGAGTTCATCAAAATAATCTTTTTTTCTCTCTTTGTTTAGGCAACAGCACTGCTATTCAAGAATTATTCAAACGTATTTCGGAACAATTTACAGCTATGTTCCGCCGAAAGGCCTTTCTCCATTGGTATACTGGTGAAGGCATGGATGAAATGGTTTGTTATTACTATTTTATATCACTTAGTTCTCATGTTCTTTTTTTTTTAAATTTATATTAGGAATTCACTGAAGCTGAATCGAACATGAACGATCTTGTAAGCGAATACCAACAATACCAAGATGCCACGGCTGAAGGTAAATTTTATAACTTCTATCTTTTGTGCGTATAACAAAAATAAATTCTTTTTTCTTTCGTATTTGTAGAAGAAGGTGAAGGTGGTGAAGAAGAAGGCGAACAAGAAGGTGCCTAAACCATCTTTTAAACAACAACATCCAATAACATTAGACATTTTTATTTCATCGACAATTAATCTTTTTTTTTATTATAAAATCCTTCGAATCTCTTTAGCTCTTTTTTCTCTGTATGATCATTTGTCTCCTTATTTTTTTTTTGTACAATGTCGCGTCGGGTCTTGTATTTGAAAATTGCATAACAACAATGAATAGAAACATCCGAGACAAAAAAAATAATGTCACCGATTGATTAAATGGTTTTTTTTCCATAATAATAAATACTGACGAATGAGCCCTAAGAAAAATACTTTTTTTCTAATGATTCGCTATTGTTACAAACTGGGTCTTATGTCAATAGAAATATGCGTTTGTCTTTGATAAAAAACTTAGTAGTAGACATTAATAAATGATGATTGGATGCAGTATTTGCATGACGAGAATGTTTCTTGGGAATTGTATGAAATATTCTAGCTTCAATTTCTGCCGCAGGTTGTAAAGAGGCAACATATATGAATTAACGAATGTTTTTTGTAGGATGAAATTCATCTTTTCAATTGAAAAAAAAACAATGAGTTTAAAGTGCACTGGCAATGCCTTGATTTCAATCTGTTCGAAGCTTTAGAACGTGAGAAATTCTCATGAAAATGATGTTTATTTTACCTCCAGTCATATCTATCGATATAGATGGAAACGAATTCAATTTATCATGAATTCTTGATAGATTTTTCAACTGTCATCATCGGCGTCGCAGGAAAATTCAAGTACAAGTTTTTTGGACTGTATGTTATTCATCAAAATTCAATTATGACAATTTATCTACTGTAGTTAACTATTGATTTCTGCTACTTCAAATTTAAGTTAAAAATTCAAATAAAGATGGAGCTAGTCATAAAATCAAGATGTCGGTAAACGTATCGATGATTATAGGTAACCTATGCAAATCTGTGGCTGATGGAATTCACATATATATGTTGGTCTATAAACACTAAAGTCGATCAAAGAGAAAAACTATGCTTGAAGGCACGATTTTTTTTATTCGATTTATTTCGTTTTCATTAAAGAATTGCCTCCTATTTATACTAGTCAATCAGATCTTCATTCTACTAAATATAAAGTAGCTCTAGTTGATCCAACATTTCGAATAAAAATCAGGCGTATTAAAATATAAATTAGCGAAACTCAATAATTCAATCAAATTATCGGTTGATAAATAACCAGCTCTTCAACGAGTTTGTACTTCAGGTTATACAATATCGATCATTTTTTAAAAACTTTTCTGTTTGCTAACGTAGAATTTCGATGTTGTATTAAAAATTTCATATTAAAATTAGTATCTTAAAAAGTTCTACGTTTGACTTCTTACTAGTAAATTGAATATTACTAGCAAAATTACAGCGATAGAGCTAAGTTCTATTCATAGTTTTAGGAGAACCTTCGTTTGAACTTTATTTTGTTCTTCCAACAAGATCAGTTGTTATCAAGAAAGAGAAAAATCCGATTTCAACGGCAAACAAAAGAATAATTTGCATCAGCTGTTAGTTGTATCATGATTTCCTGTGGGTAAAAGAGAAACAATCAATCTATAAGTTCTATTGTTGATTTGCTTTTAAAAACACGCTATTTACGAAGACGATCTGTTGTTATTGTAAAACACCACTCAACATGAATGTAGTAGTATTGACGGATATTTTTCGAGCTTGTTAATCCCTACAGTCCATATCTTACTAAACAAAAGTATTCCATCTTGTGACACACAAATACCAAGTGTCAAATATTTATGAAGTATTGATTTCAATCGATTTGTAAAATTGCATATTCCAATGAATACCGAAAGCTATTGTGGATTGCGTATTCAAATCAATAGGAAGCTTTATTCTTCGATTTCGTAATGAAGACTTAGGAATTCTTTTTTTTTGCATAATACGTTTAATGATATGATATCCCTAGCTACATACAGGTACTTGGGACAATATGAGGAATAAATTCTATAAAAAAAACACTACATGTTCAATTGAAAGTGTATTATCAGAAAACATGTGATTTATTATTTAATTTTTTTTTGTTGTATTCGAAGTGATAGTTTAGATTAAAAATATATGAACCCAGACACGTAAATTTATCTATGAATTTTACCAAATCATTTCGAATAAGGTTTACTTCAAATTAAAATCCCAGAAAAAGTCACATTCATTGAGTGACTAAATAGATATACCAGTAATTAACGCTGCATTTTGGGTATATGGGTAAATAAATTCTGTAGTTATTTTTCCTAAGCTGTTACCATACCAGTTTTAACAAGAACTACCAGCAAAAATAATACCAAGCTAATAGACAAAAATTATTTTGCTTTGTATTTTTCGCTCTTTGGCGGTAGAAAAGCTTTTTCTTAGCATTTTGTTTGTATTATGCGTTGCTTAAATAATATATCTAAGCGACTTAATCTTTAAAACGCATTAATTTTAATAGGCATTATTCGATAAAAATCTATTATTAGCTAATATAATCGATTCTTTTTGAACCGGAAAGTGTCTATTTTAATTTTTTTTTTGAAGAAGCAGTTTGATTGCGTACTTTTTAAGCGAACATGATTTTTTTTATAAGAGTATTAAATAAAAGATTATAAGAAGCTCTGTCTTGTCTCTGTTACATGTAAATTTCACAACATGGTGGCATTGCAAAACAAAACAGAAGTTTCATCGAGTTCATTTAAAAAGTCTTGGTTTTCCTTCTTTTTCTCTATCACTTTTCACGAGCTTGGATTGTTGCTAAATATAATATTCAGTTCATCATAAATTAATCTGTTCAAAAAGAAGAAATTTTATTCCGACAATAAAGAGCATTTCATCGTGCCAATCATGGGTGACAATCAAACAGTAAATGATACTGTAACAAATGAAGATGAGCTTATCCCATCTGCTCCAGTACAATTTTGGACATATCTTGTATTTCAAGTTCCATCACTTACTTGTGCTTTATATCTTCTTTATCATTTAACATTTGGTCAATGTTTACGTAGACATTTACATAATCATGTTATAACGGTTTTACTTTTTCTATGCTTAATTATTTTAGTCGTAGATAATCCGTTGTATCTTGATGGATGGCGCATGGGTGGTGGAAATTCATTTCCATTTTCACCAGGTGTTTGTTTATTATGGTGGTTTGTGGATTATGGATTTTACGGTGCAGTTTCTGTATTTCTTGCCTGGGGCTCATTAGAAAGGCATATATTCATATTCTATCGACATCAATGTCTCGGTACGAAACGTAAAGTTTTTTGCGTCCATTATTTTCCTCTAATCGTAATTTCGATTTATCTTATTGGATTTTATAGTTTTGCAATTTTATTTCCACCATGTGAAAATATTTTCTATGATAACTATTTAGCATGTGGTTCATGTCCATGTTATCAAGATGTACCATGGATAAATACATGGGATTATTTATTAAATGGAGTTTTATGTAATATTTTAGAAGCATTTTTCAGTTGTACTTTGCTTGTAAAAGTTATATGGAGAAAAAATTACTCAACACGACGCTTTAATTGGAAAAAATATCGAAAAATGACTGTGCAATTGCTTTCGATTTCAATACTATCATTGATGATTAATCTTCCACAATCATTAATTATTTTCATACAAGTCATGGGGCCAGGTATGAGTAGTTTTGGTAGTACTGCTGAACCGTATTTATTTTATTTTACCGGCTATATTATTTTATTGATACCATTTGTTTGTCTTGCATGCCTACAAGAATTGTGGCCAAAACGAGTTTTTTTTAAGCTACGAAGACCGCGCACAATTCGTCCTATGACAATGACTGTTGCTGTTGTACCATTAGAAATTGTACAACGAAAGTACAATTAATGTTCTCTTTATTTGAACATATAATACGAAGGTGCTATTCAATATACAAATAAAAATTTATTTTATTTTTCCTGTAGCTCTTAGATTCGATTCATACTTACAATGAATATCAAGCAATGATCAATTTAATTCATACTTACTATTAAAGTATGCGCAACGGAAATCTTCTGTACTCCTGATAGTGCATTTCTATTAAACATCTGTTGTTCTCAGACGTATCTAGTACGTCACAAAAGGAAGTGAAATTTGTTTTTGTCGAGAAATATTAACAGTTACATTTTTTGTTTTAAACTAATGTTTGTTCGTATAAAAAAAATCGTTTAATAAAATATAATGCTTTCTAAAAATCTATAGTAAAGTTTTTCTGAACGAATAACAGGAGGTTTTGTATTGTAACTTAAGAACATTCAACATATTTATAGGGAATGTGTTCGAAATTCTAGTAACATCTAGTGCTCCTTTTGAATTGTTGATGCATAGAGATCGTTGAGTTATATAAGAAACCCATGCGTTATAGGCAATGTTCACAATATTATTACTGTCAAATATTAGAAGAAATGGAGTCGACCTATTCACTTTTGTGAGTACATTAGATATACTGTTAATATCTTAAAATTCAAATATATCACGCCGAGTGCGTCATAAGCAGCTCATTTTACAGAATTTTTTCCTTTGTTGGCAGGACGCTTAAATTTAAATCAAATATTCTCAATGTTCTTAGATTACAACGCATCACTTTTGATTCTAAATGAAATATATATTTAAATTTCATCTCCTATTTAAACAATTCGTTACTATAATCGAACGAGGAATAGTTTCGTATTAGTCGTTTATCTGTAACAAATAATAATTGTGGTATCTGTGCATAGAACAGAAAAATTAATAAAATCTTACATGAAATGGAAAATTCAATTTATTAATGCTTTCAATGATAATCATGATAACCTAGCCTGTAAGTTAGTTGAAAAATTGAATATTACCCTTGGTTCTGCATCCTATATTTCATAGAGAAAAAGAAAAGAACACATGATTGTCAAATAAATCAAAGTCAATATTAAACGAAGGTTCAAGATTTTTAACATAATGAAACTTGATGAATAAATATTTGAAAGAATTACATAGCTATGCTCTTCAAATATCGAGAACGAAAAAATATTATCAGAATGTGAAGCAAAATGAATCTTTTTATTCGATCGAAAACTTATTGTACTTTTTCAGTATTCAAATGAAGGTATATAGGGGAAAAAATACATAATATCGTCTTTTACTACTTCAAACCTCATAAAAGAGTTTACATTTCGAACATTTATTCATAAAATTTGACACTTCCAATAAATGAATTCTATTGAAAATTCAAAAAGTATAGCGAGTTTCGATTTGTGTCATTGAAATACATTTTTGTTCTAATCGCGTTTTGATGCGAAAAATAACATGTAAGACGCTAGATCCAAATACGAATATAATGTAGATTTGTAATCGCTATTAAATGTATTTTTTTATAGTGAGAATAATTTACCACATGTATCTATTAATAAAAATACACAGAATCGAATCATAACTCTTCCATATTTTTTCAGTCGACTGGTTCTATGATGTATTAATTAATTAATTAATTAATTAATTAATTAATATGTGATCGATTTTATTTTAATGTAGGAATTTTTTAAAATTTCCTTTTTATTATTTATATTTTAATATAGCATTTCTCTTCAATGATTTGATTAAAAAAACCATGTAGGTTAATCAAACCACATATCACAAATGCATTAATATGTAAAAACACAGTTTTCAAATAAAAATTGTTCTATTAAGAATGTTTTCTTTCCTTTTTGCCGTTTATATAATTACATATCTATATTAATAAACAAATAACGACGTATTAACAATAGTAATAGTATTCAGTGAAGGAGAAGATTTGATTATTTGTAAAGATCCAACGCGACTATATGGCATGACAAGATAGACTTCAGAAAACTAAATAATAGAAAATTGTTAATAATCAATTTTTAGTTGTTTTTTATTTTATACGAACCACATATTTACTCATACAAAGTAAAATTGCATTTATAAATGACCAAAGTGATAGGATCAATAGTAAAAACGTAGCCGTTGCTAATGTCCATCGTTTGCAAGTCATTTAGTCTGAACAAACCCGAACCCGAATCTTATGTTTTACTACTACATCGAATATTAATTATTAGAGCCAATCAAATATTATGACTACTGCCTCTATCGTATATATCGACTGTGATTGGCCAAACAGGCTGAAAGCTTTTTGACTTGATCGATAGGTAAAAGGTATAGCCTTGCTCTGGTTAGAAAAATAATATTCCATTAAAATTTGAATAAAACAAACATTCATTTACAACCGTTATTGTAAACAGATCAATAACATTCACAATTGAAATGTGATAAAAAAAAAGAAGTTACACTGATTCTAGTATAGATCTCACAAGACGAATTTTTGTCGTCATTATTTCACGAAAAAAATTCCATAACATTATTTTATTTCCTTTCTTATCTTTTGAATTTTATTTGACTATAATTTATTAGCAGTTAAATTAAATATGCGTCCCTATTAGTGCGAATAACATGACTGCATCAGTACATATATGTAAATTAGCCGATGAAGGTTATTTTTTTTCCCGTTGGTTAATTGAATTAAATTCATCACTTAGCGTTTTATTGAATTTTCAAATGAAGAGAATTTTGTTGTTGTTGCCTAGTCGCCTAGTCTTTAATATATTAATTTGTGAGTATAGTATACAAAAATTATTGATAAAAATTCATGTCTTTGTCTATTAAACAAAAATTCTTATTTAGAACTTCAAGGCTATATTGAAACAAAAATGAACTTTACATATGAGAATAAAAGAGTAATCCTATGATAAATATACCTTTTTTTCGTATTATTTATTAATCAATGTTTTTATCTGTGATATTCGATATAGTTTACAGTATTTTTTTTACTCATGCAAACTACTTTTAGTCGCATACAAGATGAATTGTCTTGTATTCGACATAATTCAATTTTGATATCATGATAAATTGATTGGCTATTTTTAATACGTTTATTAATATGTGATGATTCATCAAGAGACAAAACTTCTTTTTTTTTCTCCGTCATTGTATTTCTAACTAATGCGTATTTATGTCTGAAGCAAGTGTGTGTGGGAGTTGAGCATATACCCGGTAAGAATACACATATATAGACTCATACAAGCATGGGACACGACAACAATGTCGACGGTTTACTCATTATACATTTTCATCGACATGAATTTCTGAGTAAGAGAAAGAAAAAAAACCGCACAATGGTTACTCAGATGTGTCGCCTGTCTGTTCCTTTTCGTTCGTTTTTTTTTACTTCGATTCTTTTTTCTCCTGTCGTCGCTTTATGTGCACACACAAGGCAATAGTGGCCAAAAAAAAGAAAAAAGAAGAAAAGACTCCATGTATACGTATGTGTACATATACACACAAGTCTGTAGTGACGGTGGGAGTTTGCGCTTTTATAGAATTAAAAAGAGAAGCAAAACCATGAAAAAAATACTTCGAATTTTTTTTTTCGCTTATCAATATACTTTTAGTATTGTTGATAACATTTCTAGTTTTTATGCACATACTCTATTTTAGATGACAACCATGCATCATCCTCTATTGGTTTTAATAATAATATTATTTATTGAAATAATTAATTGCCAAGTAGCATTTAAATCTTTATGCTCATCTGAAGAAGTTGAAGTAGCTGGAATGGCGTCAGTGGATGGTAGCAATGAATTTGAAATAGATCTTTATCAATCAAAATTTTTACCTGAAGATACAGTTTCATGTTAGTAACACAGATTATTTTTTGATTAATTTTTGTTTATTTATTCTAGTGTCAATAAAGCAAAAACGTCGAAATTATGCAATTAATGAATTTGTTTTACGTGCATTTGATTACGATGGAAATGTTATTGGTCGATTTGATAATACACAAACGGGCGATTTAACTTTAAATCATCATACATGTTCAAATGGTGCCAATGTAAAGAATTTTTGTCTTTTGAAAGGTTTAATTTAATTTCTATGTATTCAGGTTGTTTACGCCGACCAAGTAGGAAGTCGTGGCTATAGTGAAGTTCCACTAGAATGGAAAGCTACTGGTATTCATCACAATCTCGATCAAGTTGTTTTTAGGTAGATTTTGCTAATTTTCTTTCGGAATATTTTTTATTTTTCATTCTAGAGCAACTGTTGTTTCCAATCGACAATTGTATCGACTGATTTCAGCTCCTTTAAAACGAGTAAATAGTCATTTTTATTTTCGATCATTATTTTATAAGATTTTTATTTATTATTAATTTTTTTCAAGCGTCTATCATCGGAAATAATACCTTATCACGATCAATCGATCAATATTGATTATTGTGGTGAATCTCAAGGTTGTTTGATTGTTCCACAACAATGTAATAATGATGCTAAATGTGATTATGCACTTTCGTGGCAAGCTATCGATGCGGAAACAGCTAAATTTCATATTGTGGCCAGAGCACAAGGCTTTGTTGGTGTCGGTTTTTCAAATGATGAAAAACGGGTAAGAAAATCTGAAATATTAATATTCGATGAGAAAATAATTTTTTGATTTAACTTATATCAATGAAAGAATTTAAGGTGTATATTTAAGCAACTCTCTGAAGATGTCATATGGATATTCTTCAATTCTCTAGAAATTTCTTATTATTTAAGAGTATAAGATCATTTTGCTTAGTCTCAACAATGGAAACGTATAAATAGAATAAATAAATCATCTATTGATCCCTCATTCAACTCCTAGAGTCAAATAAGCAATCTTGTCTTTGATCTATTTTGATCAATGGTCTAGTTGAATGATGATTCTAATCGCGTAAGTTGAAAAGAATTTCGTGTTTATTGAAGGGTGATGATCAAGTTATTCTATGTACAAAAGATGCTGAAGGATATGTCTATGTACACAATATGTTCGTCGGTGTTCAAACTCCACAATATGTCTTCCGCGGACGACCATCTTATGGTTTACGAGAAGCCGATAGTTATTCGAACGCAACACATATTATTTGTAAATTTTCACGATCGTTATCGCCGCATACAGAAAATTTAGGAGAAAACGATGGACGAAGCCGTGATAGAATTGATCGAGAGAAATTTGTTGATTTAAAAAAACCTCATTTCATGTATCCAATTTATTCTGATGAAGGCTTAATGACAGCACAAGGTATGAAAAATATTCATCGAGAAATACGAGATAATGATTTCGTTTTTTAGGAATGCGTATACCTCTTCAAGATATTGCAATTGTTAATAATCATCCAGTTGATTTCGAACGTCGCATTTGGCCCAAAACACATCCACAAGCAGCATCTGTTCTAGCTAAAATTCATGGTAGAACAAATTGGAATAATTTTATTTTAGTTGATTTCAGTGCTTTTCTTGTTTAGCTATTTTAAATATAATTGCTTGGGTTCTTCTTGCATCAGCCGGTGTTATGGTTGGCCGTTATTTTGATTCACTTTGGCCAGATTATGAACGACTGACTGTTGTGGATTCTGCTACTGGTGCTGTCACAGGAGAAAAGTATCAACAACGTCGACGATTTTCATATTTTACAGTAATTAATTTGAATAGTTTACTTGCCAACATACGATTCTTCATTTCTTTCGATAGATTGTACCACCGCTTATGATTGTTGTAGCGATTTTAACATGGATTGCATTCTTTTGTATTCTTTTTGAACTCGATTGGAAGTGGACCTATGGAACACATCATATGTGGCATTCAATTCTTGGTGTTGTTGTACTTATTTGTGCGTTTTTTGCTGTACGTAAAAAATTATTTTTTATAGGTTTCTATCCCTTATCGAAAAATGTGTTTATGAATGAAATACTCAAAGTGATAGTTATAATATATTAGTTCGTATTACTGATAGCTTGTATTAGTCGAAGTATCTAAAGTGAATCAATAAATAGGTACTCTATACGACCATGATTTGTAAAAAGACTGCACCGTTTTCAAATATAAGCTTTGCAATTTTCTACATAACGTTACTAGAGAATGTTTTCTCCCAGGAGCAAATATTTTGGAGTCAACTTTTTGAAGATTATAATAAATTATACTGAGTAACATAGTTTATACTTATTTTCCTTCTAGCTATTGCTGAAATTGATTAAAATGACTACAAAACTTTAAGAAAACATTCTAAGATGATTTATATCCTATTTTTTTCTAGCCCATTGTTGGTGTTATGCGACCAATACCTCGTACAAAATCTTATTGCGTTTGGTACTGGATTCATTGGGTGATTATGTCGTTAGCTCATTGTCTTGCCATTCCGGTTATATTTCTGGGTATGGATAATCGTCGTTTAGATTTATGGACATGGTGTTCATGGTTACTATTTGCTTGGTGTATATTTCATTTTATTGTTCAACTTATTTTTGAAATTCACGCTTGTTGTCATGCACGACAAGAATATGATCGTAAGTTGAGTTTTATTTGAATGATTATACAAATGGAAATTGTTTTAGGCTTGCAAGGAGTAGAACATTATTCGGAGAAAAATGTAGAACTTCGAATAAGAAAAGAACGTATACCTGTAAGTTGAAAATTTCGTATTGGTTGAAAATATTTTTCTTTTGCTTTTTAATTAACAGGGTGAATCATGGAAACCAGCGCTTTTAGGTATTTATTTATGTATCACATTAGTTGTGGTGATTATTCTTATACTTGCTGTTATCTTCTATCAAGGTTATTAGCCCTTTTTTGTGCCTCCGATTTACAAATATATGAGTTGAATCTGACTAATCGAACTTCTTTTTCTGTATACTGTTTGAGCAATACGAAGATTATGCTTATATTGTTCTCTTTTTACTCAAGATTAGATTAGATACAAAGTGTGTTTTTAATTGTAGAATTCGTTTGTTTTTTATCTTTTTTTTACAGTATTCTTATAATATTCTGGTTTTGCTTCTTCATTTTCTTACATGTGTGACAGTGAGTATTCGAAAAATAAATTTTCTGTTTTTTCTCTACTTGAAAAAAGATTTGGGCATCTAAAACATCATCATTAGTAGAGTCTATCGAAATTTTCTAGGTTTTCTCATGCACTTTATTATAGTTATGAATAGAAAAAAGTATTTTTGAAATATCTTAATTATTAATATCTTGGGAATTTGCCTGTGTCTCTGACTATGAAAAATCTGATCATAAATCATTTAGAAAGTTTGTATGGATATGTGGCAGTATAGTTTAGAATCTAGTTGAGATTGGAATTGTAGACTATTCTATAAATGTTATGAGAAAGTGATTCATAGAAATAAAATTTTGTTAATGAGTGATATAGCATAGTTTGATTGAGTATGCAGATTCAAAAAAGATGTTTTTGTTTCCAAGATAAATTGTGTCTATCTTTCATGATTGACGAGAGAAAAATGACAAAGATTCTGAATAGATGTTTGTTTCAATGCTCGGGACATTGGGACATAGGGACATTGATTTTTTTCTTTCGTTCTGTATTAGAAGAAAACAGAGAAAAAGATTTTTCGCTCTCGTTATTTCGAAGTACGGGCCTCGAGCAGGTGGGATGGGAATGGAACGAGTTTTTATATCGAATGATATGGAAAGAAAGTAAATGTTTTTTATTTAATTTTTATTGAAATTAATAAAGAAGTTTCTTATGTGACTGGTCCATTTGATGCGTTATTATCTGCAATCGTTCTTCGTTAAAAAGAATAAGTTTATATAAAAGAAACTTCGTAATTTATGTCTAATCATTGTCTGTTTCATAGTGGCGAGTATCAATTATTAAAACTTAAATCAATAAAGGAATGATGAGAAAAAACATTAGATATTAATAGATTCTACTAAATTCTTAAAGTGTAAATTTCGGATAAGTATTTATTTGATGATGTAACATTATTGTCATAATCAACGAAGTGTTTCATTTCCGTTTAATATTAAAGTATCAGTTCAACAACATACATTAATTACTATATGACTCATACAAGTGATATGAGAGCGCGTTGAGATAAATGAAAAGTAAGAAATAAAGTATTTTGTTTTGGTCACCAATTTATAAAAGAAATCTAAATTCTGATCAATTAGAAAATAGTTTGGCTAAATCTAACTCATAGAAAAAAATTTCCATACGTATCATTCATATAATTTTATTTGCGTGCTGATTTTCGAATTTTTTTTTCTTTTCTTCACTCTCTTTTGTATCTATTTTCTCTATCTTTAATTAAATCTATTATTCCAATCTCAACTAAATTCTCATGTCAACTGTAACACATATATTTCAAAGATGATTATTACAGTGTTACCAATATTGTGTCGGCGTTTTACAAGGATTTTGTACTCGTGTGGGAAGAGGATTTTATAGACTGCTTCTCTGTTGTCGTTACAGCAGGTACCTTCGTCTGTAGTATCCAAGGGGGAAAAACTCATTCCGAGCCATTCGAATGGTTGGGAATGCCCGAATGAGATTCCCCCCTTCTTGGTAGTATCACTATATGTTGACAAGGTTGAATAAGGAATATTTTTTGCTATATGCCAAAGTTATCATGTACTGCAGTCGGACCGTAGATATAACGTGGAAAGCTAAATTTTGTGTCGAATCAACTGGTACCAACGTATGGAAAACACTTCGTAACAAAGAAACTTTCTCAGACATAATAAGTCACCGACTTTTGTTAAAAACATTAAGAAATTCCTTCTCGCATCAACAGAAGATTCCTATTTGTTAAGATCAGATGAATCTAAAAATGCGACCGTTTACAGGTTGTTCTCGCGCAAAAAACGGTGCCACCCATAGGCGGCGGAACGATTTCCCTCTAGGGTAGGTTCAATTTTCTAGCTAAATGAGATAGGGAAGCGGCACGGCTGCCATGATTAACCCAACTTTGAGAGGGGGCGATGTAAAAAAGCTTTTCTTCAAGATGCTGTGCTAATGGATGTCGTGAGCACCCAACAATTTCAAGCGTGAGTAACCAGTGTTGCCAGATCCACCTGATTTCGAAACCTTTTCAGGATTTTCCGCATTTTTTTTCAATTCTTCAGAAATTTGCAGATATAAATTTCGGATTTTTGACTTCAATATCTGGGATCACTGAGGGTAACTGATAAAATCGTGCTTAAGGTAGAGTAAATTTCATTTTGTGAAATACAATGCAAGACAGTTTTTCGAATATTGTGGCTGTTACATCCCTGTCACCTCTCGATCAAGACACTCTTGGGTAGCTGATCATGAATCAACTTTTGCTACTTTTTTTCAATGTTGATTTTTTGGTAGATTTAAATTTTATAAAGCCCAATAAGTATCTTATCGAATTTCAGTTCGTATTGGTGATAAAGAAAATATGAACTAGCTTTGAAACAATACGTCATATCCCAGGAGAATCAGGGTACGTCGGAATCGGTCGGAACCGATTGGTTCCGTTGAATTCCAACGATTTCCTAACTAACGGATTCCGGTCCAAATTTCGTCGGGCCATTTCCGATCGATTCCCATCGGTTCCGTCGATTTCCGACGAATTCTGGGTCGAAATTTTTCGGAACTTAACGGAATTTTTCCGGCGGAAACCGGACCGGGATCCGTTAGTTAGGAAATCGTCGAAATTCAATGGAGCCGACCGAAAGCAACGGAATCCGTAGGATCTGGTGCCGGAAACGATCGGACCCACTGGTCGGATTGAATCTCCTGGGATGTTACTGACGCTGCCCAGGTCGAATATTCCGCTCCCGGAAACGGCCGGCTCTGTGGTATTCCGGATATTTCATGGAAGCAGTATTCTGGTGAAAGGATCCGGTGACCGGATTTATCCGGTTCCGGCCGGAACCGACAGGAACCTGTCAAAACTGGTAGCCGGATACGGTTTCAGGATTCCTGCATCGAATTCCGGACAATTCCCGGTGGGTTCCGGTCGGAAACAGCGAGTTTCTTGCAGGTTTTCGCCGGAAATTCACGGAATACTGCTTCAGGAATCGTTGTCCTGGGTGTAAGTCAGACGTGAAAACTAAACAATAATGAAAGACTTATATATAATTGAGCCTACTCAAGCCTACCCTATTCCGAACTAGGATAGGCTCAAGCCTCGTGGTCCTACAGGCTCCGCCGCCTATCGCTGGAGAAAAGAAGACACAATAAAGAGATATGCAGAGATAGGAAAGAAAAAATGAAAAAGAGCGGTTGACGTTTGTGCATCCCGGGTTGGATTGCACATATAAGAAATACATAATGTATAAAGACGAAACAGGAACGTATAAGAATAAATAAAGAAATAAAGAACTTGCTAGAGTACTCTCTAACACCTTCGATAGGGTTTATGAAAATGCAACGTATTATACACCCTTTTAAAGTTGTTCAGTCGTATAAACGTTATGGTAAACCTTTCGGCACGCGGTATATTCACTTGATAAACCTTTTTATTTCGTCTTTTGATGGGTAGATAAAAGGGTTTATCGCATGCTGCTAGACGGTAGAAAAGGGTATATCATACGTTGCATTCTCATAAACGCTTTCAACGTTTATCATTCGGCGCTTTTTTTATCAGTGTATGGTAAGGCGTTTTTAAGGTGGACGAGAAAGTCGTTTTTTTCATTAATTTATTCACTCAAACAATATAGGAAAAGGAGTATAAAAATCACCACATTCATTGAGAAACATCAATTCAATTAAAATTTTTGATCAAATAGCTTATGTACTCTGATCAGATTGAGCGGACTTCTAAAGCTAAACTTCATTAGACTACATATTTCATGAGCTAGGTAGTCCAGTTAACGTTTTTTAGAAATAGAAATCGATCGATTGTATATGTTGTTCGGTATGTATCAAAATGAGCGAAAGAGAAAAAGAGCGAAGATGTTAGCGTCACTTCATGGCGCTAACTTATCCATATCATTGAAATACGTTTTCTTTCCTTCGTTTCTATTTGATATGGATAATCTTTCTCATGAACTGCAAAAAAATAGGTACTCCACGGAACCTCGAAAAAAGGTTCGGTAGACGACAAAAAGCTTGCAAATGTGTTCAAAGTTTAAAAAAAGAATAAAAGAGTCCACGAAACCTTTAAAGGATCTTACCGTGTACCCAAGTGAAGATCCTTTTTTCGTCGAAGCATTTTTAAGTTCCGCACACCAAAAGATAGATTTTGTAGGAACATACGAAACCTTTAAAGTATCGTATTAAACCTCGTGGTTTGGTAATGGACTTCCTGTAAAACTATTATATTTAATACGAAACTCTAAAGGTTTCGTATTTTCCTACAAAACCTATTTTTTGGTGTGCGGAACTTAAAAATGTTTCGAAGAAAAAAGGATCTTCACTTGGGTACATGGTAAGATCCTTTAAAGGTTCCGTGGAATCTTTTATTCTTTTTTTTAAACTTTGAACACATTTGCAAGCTTTTTGTCGTCTACCGAATCTTTTTTCGAGGTTCCGTAAAGTACCTATTTTTTTACAGTGTATTGTGTTTTCTTTCCTTCCGACCGGGACGATGTAAATAATGGCATCGTTTCTTCGACTAGAATTAAGTGCATTTATAGAATGATGCACCATCATCTTTATATACAAAATAGTCTAGTTGAAGAAACAAATGTCTTTTCTTCTTTCTGCCTTTGTTTCTCTCTCTCTCTTGCTCTCTTGTGTATGTGTGTTGTACAGTATAAATAAGAAGAAAAAAAAGAATAAACGAGAGATCAGATTAGGAATCGAAAATAGAAACATTAATTTCTATTTTGAGAATTGATTTAAGTTACACCAGGGTCTCTGTAACATATTGTTGCTGCCATCAAATATTCAGTTTATAAATTTATAATTTATAATTTATATAAAATTTATCTTTTACTTTTCCAGCCCCCTTGACAAAGTTGGCACTGTTTTTTAATGTTACATTTGTCTTCGAACTTGAATTAGGGGCAATTCATATTTATAAAATCAATACAGATTATTTGTAGATTTCCTGCTCAAATTATCAATAATGGCTAGTGGTTGCGAATTTCAATTTATGGAATATGTCGCCGAACAGTCCATTGACCCAAATTTAGTATGCAGTATTTGTCACAAGGCTTTTAACGATCCAGTGTGTACACCGTGTGATCATACTTTCGGTCGCGCGTGTATCACGCATTGGCTTGATGTAAGTGCGAATCATTCATGCCCTGTGTGCGTTGAGAGCCCTTTGACAGTTGATAAGCTTACAGTGGCTAGTCGACTGTTGCGAAATATGCTTGATCCACTTCGTGTTACTTGCACATTATGTGGACAAACGGACTTGCAACGTGGTAATTTTGAACATCACCTGAACAAAGTTTGTTCAAAAATGGTGATTGAATGTATCGCTAGTGACATAAAATGCCCTTGGCAAGGAATACGCGATGAACTACAGGATCATGTTAGAACATGTGTTTTCGAACTATTGCGACCAGTATTGTCTTCAATAATCGCTGAAAATCGAAAACTTAACGATCAAGTTCGTCAGCATGAAGATGAAATCAATAAACTAAAGCAAGCATTAAATCCACTACAAATTGGTAATTAGAATGTTTTTTTCTATAAATTATCGAAGAGCACGTTTTTTAATTGTGAGTTCTATTTTTTTTAGCACCGAGAAGTGAGTATGGCGATGATAGTGATGATACTTCTTCAATAGCTTCGGAAATATCTACAACTGATAATGGTGTGAAAGAAGAAGACACTATATACATAAGAAATCTACCCGCTACTGTGAAATTCAATGATCTATTTGATTTATTTTCAAAATTTGGTCGCATCAAGGTATACTTCAGAGTCATGTATATTTACAAGAAGTTTTCGATTATAGCTATTTATAAACCACACAGATATTTTAAGCTGGATACATCTAAATTTTAGTGGATATGAAATAAATAGTAATTCTAGTTATTTCTGTGACACGCATTCGTACAGATTTTTGCCAAAAGGGAATCAGTTTTGTTGCTAGGACTCCATGGTCGCTGTTTAATCTACGACATTTTGTTTGTATATTAACGAATCTATATTTTTCTAGTTCAATCCAAACAATAAAAAAACGGACATCTTTATATTAAAAAACAAACAAAAGAAAGATGGTCCATGTGGCGCTAAAGTGGCTTTTGTTGATAAGGAATCGGCAGATGCTGCAGTTTTGGCATACAACGGTAGATAAAAGCTTCCAATTAGGTAAAATAATTTCATAGTATTCTTTTATGCACAGGTAAACATATTCAACAGTGGAATACACGCATTCAAGTAAGTATATCGTATCGAAAGAGAAAAAATCCAGCATATTTCAGTGGAGCTCATTTTCGTAAGTGAAAATTCCTATTCCTATTAGTCATTCATTTTACTCGTATTTAGAAGACAACGCTCATGCTTCTCAAGAAGCTAAACCAACTGCAGATCATGAGAAATTTTCAAGACAGGCTCCGAATGTTGCCACGACAGTGAATCCACCAACATCACAACCTGAAAAAACTCAAAGAACAAAAAAAAATAAATAAAAGGTCTGCTTAAAACAAATACTGATAATTAAAACTCATTTGCTTTTCTTCGAACAGAAGACAATCACCTCAATTTTCATGCTGCCCTCACGTCAAAACATTTGAACAAACGGTATTCAAACAAAATAAAAATATTATTTGAATTATTCTTTACAAATATCCTTTTTTTCTGAAAATAAACTGTTCCCTCTACTGAAAGGAGGGTCTTAAGAAAAGGGTGTGGGTGATGGATACTATGAAGGAGTGCTCAAATATGGGTGCGGGTGAAGGGTATATACGTATTAATATGTCGCATATATCGGAAAGTTAAATTAAAACTAAATCTCGGAATAGATTTAGTTTTAGTTTAAGTTTTTTTTCTTCATTTATATTCGAACTCGAATTAGACAGCTACTCCCTCAAATGGGAGGTAATGAATTAAAACGATTTTCAAGGGTCTTTCTCCATTGATTTCGGGGTGTGGGTGTGGATGTGGACGCTTCGTAATAATACACCCACACCCAAAATATACAACAATAAACCCCGATCATCATTTGCTTGTAGTTGAATTCAACGGAAGTTTTCTTCGATTCATTTTAGTTAAAAAAATTATATCAAAGTCATACATATGTGTAACGGTATTTACCGTTACGGCTCACTTTATCCTCTTCGCTGTATCCTATGTTTGTGCATTGACCTGATGAACTTTCATTGTTCTATTGCGTGACCGTTCCTTCTTTGTCTATATCCGCCCAATTGTGATCGCTTTCGCGTATATAAGGGAATGTAACTAAAGGAAATGCACGACTAGAGATGTGCAGATGACACAATACACCATCATGCCGACGGGCATAGGCGACACTCTCTATGTTTGTCACAATATGTTCAAAGAACAATTGTTAAAATCAATTGAAGCTTTTCTTCTAAAAAAATGAAATGTCGAATATGATCACATGCATTGCGAACTGAAAAATATGACGATAGCGATGAAAATATTGAGTAAACAAAGCTCAGTAATTATTGTTTTCAGTTGCAATAATCATAATTTATGTTTATTTGCTTAACAATGTATAAAAACATTTGAATTAACATCAACATTCAGTGAACAATATATTTACGAGTCATAGTTATGTGTAAGGGAGAGAATCAAAGAAAAAATAGTAAAGGTTTCAAAATCTAAACACCTTACATTTCAATAAAGTAACCAAGAGACCCGAACATCGTTAAGGAATCGCTCTTTCAAGATAGTTTAACTTGTCTGCATATAAAATGAAGAACTATCAAATTTTTCAGTTCAGTCTAATTCACGACTGTACGAGTGATGGCATAATCCCATTACACCGGGTAACGACTTTTCTAGTACAACGCGAGTCCTCGCTGCGATTCCCTAAAATAATTCCCTCGTGCAGACAACGCCGTGCCACTGCACTACATTCCCTATGACTATATGATAGAAGTTGAGGAATGTGAGTGAATTTGGTGCAATGACAATCATGAAGCGATGTTGCAAAGTTATTTATCTTAGCGGAAAATGTGCTTCATTCTAATTGGGGTTGGGGGTGTGGGAGTAGGTGATGGTGTCGTATCTTCTCAAGCACATCCACACCCACACCGTCATATCGATAGCCATTGCACCAAAAGTCATTACACTAAATTCACTCACATTCCTCAACTTCTATCATATAGTCATATCGATAGTGATTACACTAAATGGACTGATAGTTGTTACCTCATAGCAAGTATACTTTAGCTAGTGAAAATATATCTAGTTCATCTGAGTTGGACACTCGTTGGGTATTATGACGGTTGATTCGCGTTACCCCATGTTTAGTTTAAGTATTATGACATCTATGATTCAATGAACATTTAGAAATAATACGAGTACTTTTTTTTTCATCGAAATCATTTTGTTTAGTTGCATATTGTTCATGAACTTGTGTACCACCAATTTGAATAGCAACATTAACAGTATCGGGTAATTTAGCACCTAAACATTGACCTTCCACGAGTGATGTACTAGTATGAATTACAACAGTTTGAATTCGCATTTTCTTCTCCAGCATCTGAACGTTCACTATTCACATTGTAGACAACTATAATCAACTATCTAACATTTGATTGCATATTAGTATGCCATATCTACTTCACCACATCGATTTTGAATCAAATATGTTGTATGTTATAGAACTAAATAAAATATAAGCATTCCTTCGACGGAACGAAAGATAACTTGGCTCATGTAAGACAGAATAATATTTAATACGCACTACACAATCTTTACTACTACTACTACTGTTCTAGATAGAAAAGACAGAATGAATTTCACCTCAAAAGCATTGCCATATGAGTAATTGCTAGTGACTTCGCAACCATTGTCTGTGCTGGACCAGGAATTTCTTTTGTAGTAACTTAATTCGTCGCCTGAACTAAAAATGAGTCTATTAAATAAAAAAAAAGTACAAGCACACATACTTCTGGTGTAATAAATTTGAACAATGCTTCCTAGAATTAAAAAATAAACCAGATCAACCTATCATTTAAAAGATAAAAACTACATACCTTGACAAGCAGCTGGTCCTGAACGATCTTTTCTTGGATCATCATAACCAGGGGTACTCATTGGAATAAACTAAAATATATTTATAATCAGTTATTCGTTTGAGTTAAAGAATGAATATGTGAAATAAATAAATATTTGACCATATGAAAATAAATAAGTTCCTATCAAACACGCATACATGATCATAGAGTTCTTCTAAACAAAAACAAGCGTAAGAATAAAACATAGTTGATTGTATAACATAGAAAATTGATCGTCTAATTTTTGTGTTTTTCTTTTTCAACCATGCAATATGTTCCTCATCAAATGAGGATGCTAGCAAATTTGTATTTAATTTAGATAATACTTTCTTGTTGCATACATTTTAAATCGTCAACGTCACGTCACGTCAAAATTCTTCTTTATTCATATAATTTGTTTCTAAGGATGCGAAGCCGGATAGAAGTTCGATAATACCCGATTTTATCTACATATGAAAATCATGATAGAATTGAATTTATTTGAGAGGAAAAAAATCACCTGTTCAAATTTTCAATTCTTATTGGAGCTTGTTTTACACAGTCATTTTCAACAATCGATGTTGCTTCACCAATAATAACATTCAAATAAAAATCGAGTCTCCAAAAATTGGTCGAATGAAAAATGGTCGAAAATTTTGTAATAGAAGAACAAAAGCTTCTTTTAAAGCAGCCCGAACTTTGTAGCGTAAAGCTGAAACTAGCACTAATTGCATTATAATGTTAATATTAGAGGTAAATAGTGATTCGGACAAATAAATTAGGCATGCATAATAAACGAAAAGTAGTTTAGAATTTACGAAGAAGACTTTCTAATTATTTTAGTAATGTTGCCTGTTTTGAGAACACTGTGACCACCTCAACCACACCCGCACCTACACCCTCAAGATAGGTGTTTCAATCGAAATGTTTCAAAACGACAGAACAGACTTCTCATGAACCTTTGGTTTATTAAAAGAATCAAATTAAATATTAAAAACTCTCTCGAACTAAGCAATATACTACATATGAAACTGCCAATGAGATTTTAGTAATTGAATCTAAATAAAAGGTCATCCAACAATCCACATCCAGCTATACACAATAGCTACTACGTTGGATACACTTATCACTACAGAAAGACATGGAAAATAGCATTGTTGAATTCTTACGCCAAAACTTGTATGATTGTTTCAGTAGAGGATTAGCGACGCTTACGTCGCGTTACTTGTAATTTAGCTTAGTTCGAGAATATCCTCTTACGTCTTAGACATCATAGTCAAGAGTAAGAAAATATTTAAATGATTGCCTCATAATTTTCTTCTTTTTTTGACAAAATTAATATTCATCTTTTGCAACTATTCACTTATCTATGAATAAATCGTTTTTCAGGATGTTATGTTGTCACTGAATCTTAATAAAAACAAAAATATCAATTACGTGCTATTTGATTGCTTAGTGGCGGATTATATAGGAAAAGATCGGATTTATTAGTGCCAAAGTTGTTTATTGGATTTGATGAGATTATTCATGATCGAAATGTTCAATGAATTACAAGGTATGGATGTATTAATAAATGACTACCAGGGATCCGCGAGTCAGTCAAAAATATGACTCGCCACCGCCTCGTCTCACCTCGCTTAGTATCTATCCTAAAAAAAATGACCTTTTTAGGTAGTTTCTCAGCCCCCTACAACAATTACTATCTTTTACTTCTTTATATCTTATTAAATATTGTTAGTACATATAAATAAGTTGAAAAAAGTTACAAAAATTAAATGACTGAACTAGATCGAATAGATAAATATATATTTAGAGTAAAATTCTAATTCTAATCTTATTGGTCTGAGCTAGAATTCAAATACAGACCAAGATTGTTTTCGGGCAGTATTGGAATCTTGATTTTGCCGAGAAAAAATTATGATTCGACTAGAGATAAATTCATATAGTCATGTGTTTTACTCAAAAGTGTAGTGAAATGAAGAAAAAAGAAAACTTAAGTGTCAGTTATCGTATCGATAGAGACCTGCCCGGGTCTCATGAGTTCTGAGAAATAGCGGAATCGGAGCGCTTGATATATAGAAAATAGACTTATATGATACTCTGGCGTACAACTCTCACACCCACAGCTTCTACTGTTGGAACTGAAATAGACGATAAAAACTTTGATTCGTAAAATCTATATAAAATGAAAAAGGTATTGTTTAATGATATTAGTTATTGTCCCAAACATATATGCATGTGTGTTTAGTCGTTCATTCTTTCGATTAGTTACGTTTCATCGCCAATAGATACTCCAAAATCAAATCTGCAGTGAAATTCTAAGATCTCAATATCGATTCACCATTCATTTATAAAAATAAATGTGGAAACTTCGGATTTCATCCGAGAGTTATGTGTACTGCAAAAAGTGCATGCGACATATGAGTCATTCTAGAATGCCTGAACACGAAAATTATCATGAGAAACTAGACAATTTGATTTCTGGATGCAGTTTTTGTGAATTTTGAGACGTTTTTCAGGCGATGTTTCGTTAGAAAGCTATGACTTAGTTCAAAACTAATATCAGATTTAGAATCAGCGTTAAAAACTGAGTCGATTTATATATGTTGTGAATAATTCTGAGAAAATTTTTTTTTTGGAAAATCCCTGTACTCCCCCTCAGGGATGGTCTGATCAAAAATGACAATTTTTTCGACAACTCAGCCATTTCTTGACGGATCCTTCTCATCTTCGAACTCGACCTAGATATTGATAAGACAATTCTGTGCACAAAATTTCAGCTCAATCGAATGTAATTGTGAAGAGTTATCGAATAAACGGACGGCCGGACACACTGACCGATTCTATAGTGTACTCTTTTTTTTTTGAGTACACAAAAAATGACATTGTCAGTATAGGCGAGTTAAAAAAATCAACTCATACTCGCTGCAGTGCAAAGAATGCCGTCTCATGGCGAGTCTCGGATATCTGATGACTACAATTGAGGATGTAGTTGAGTGAAGATGGTAGTGATGATGGCATGAAAACTCTTCTCAATATTTATTCGAGTTCATCCACATCTATAAGCATAATTTCGTCAACGTCCTCAAGCGTTGAAATATTTTTTTAACCATCAATCATTTATAGAGAGTAATAGCTGGTGATTTCTGTCTAGAGCTTTCCTTTGCATGAATTTTATTAATAAGCCTTGATTCGAAAATACAACATCTGGAGATAAAAAGCGACGAAGATAAGAGTTATTTTCTACTATGGCATTTCTTCATTGATAATATGAATTACGATGGCTAGAATAAATGAAAAAACAATTAGTAATGAAAACGTCATCGATTCCAGAATTACTCACTCTAAAATTCATAATGACATGGATCTCGCCATGGGATGACAATCCAAGCATCGTCGGTAATTTCACCCATTCGTCGAATTTTCCGTCGTCGAAAACATTTTTCAATTTGACTTTACACTTGCCTATTGAATCGCGATCACCTACATCGTCATCGTAGACATCAAAATGAATAGTATCATCGCCATGATGAAGATTGAAAGTAAACCGTTCATTCCAAACAGGATCATTTGTATTCGAAACAGTGGTGGTCTTTTGTTTATACTTTTTATCTACGTAGACTTCAACATAAGCATCGTTTTTACCAAAAGTATCTTCATCTTTAAGACGACGTCCTCCTGCAATAATTACTTCGAGTGTACCGTTCGGCATGATAGCTATTAATAAATGCTTCTATCGAGCGCACGAGTCGGTTTTATATTCATGTAATACGAGTCAATAGGTGCCTTATATTTGCGCATCAGTATTTGATGAATCATTCGAATATTTTTTTTCTTGTTGTTTCAAGATTACGTGTTTCAATCAGAGAGTCATGTGCATTAAACAAAACCTCATGTTGACCTACGGTAAATATTTGACACTCCACTGACGATCCTGTATCGCATTGTGAAAAAAAAATAGTGAAAATAGCAATGACTGACATCGACACTAGCTCTATTATCCGCAGAGCAAAATGAATTTCACGTATAACTGCGTAGTATAATATATCAGCTAACATTGCACATGCTTGAGTAACAATGCTCCTTTGAATAGTGAGAAAAATAGACGATAACCAAGAATTTTTTTGGCAAATGTCGACCAATTTGCTCAATGGCGCACTTTTTGGCTTTTTTCTTGCATTAATGAAGAGAATAAATATAAGATAAGCATAACTCTAAAATTTTAGATAACAGTATGATCAATTATTAACATGTCTAGATAAAACAAGTAGATGTCATAGTCAAACTTATTCACGCGAGATCGATTTCACAATTATTGAAATTAAAGAAGGCTTGATAATAGAAGACGATAACGACTGCCTACATTTGTAAATTGAATTTGTCTACTCCTAGTCTCTGAGAGTTTGAATAGTAGGGCAGAATTCTGAACAGTTCATAGTGTGAAAGTATCCTGCATTTTTGTTTGCAACAAATTTTTCATCAGTAATTTGCATAAAATACTTCAAGAAGTACAGTAATACTAGTGATAATTATCTGACGGCAGAATCGGTCGTTTCTTGTATTAAAATGAATTTTGATTTAAAAAAAACTATGGAAAGTAATTGTAGAATTTATATGATTTGTTATTGAAATGAACATTTTATAGCAAAACAGTCAGAAAAACCGATTAACTATTCTGTTTCTACCAACTGCAGTACATCAATTCTAATATACCACTGAAAAATAATGCATGCAAAATAACAACAAAATTTTACTTATATATTTACCATTAAGAAGAAAGCAAAAAGCATTGCCGATATTGTATTACAAGAGTTCGTAATCGATCTCATTTGGGTCGTAAATCATCTATAGTTTTTTTCTAATGTAAAAACTCGCTTATTCATCAAAACCTTGAATTTCGCCTATAAATAATTTTCTTTTGATCGTTTCTCTATGATATTGATCGGTATTTGTATACAAAGTAGTTCGCCATCAGTTAAGTAGTCTGCTATGTATTTATAATTTTTTTATAATATCACGGCCTACAAAAGATCTATACAGTTATATGTCATACTATGAATAGACGGGCGTGACATCATAAAATATTCAGATGAATTCTCTTAGAAAACATTATCCATCAAGTATAAATAACTCGAACTATTACTGATTTTCTCTTCTTTCTTTTATATTTATGTATGTCAATATTAGCAGTATTTAATGATTAAAAACAGAATAAATTTATTTCATTTTTATATGCACAAGCAGCAGGGGGTTTATATTGTTTTTCAAGATTATTTATACCATCGAATTTATATAGATTACAATTCTTATCATTTCGTTCGAATAATAAAAACAGTTTTACGCTGTGAAAAGGTTTGCTGCGTGACTTAAACTGATCGATATTACACAGATATTTGCTTTTAAGAAATGAGGGTTGTAAAAAATTCTGCCATAGATAGTGTATATCACGTGCTATACTCTAAAATGTATTATACTTCAAAAGCACGTATGATTTTATATTTGATAACGAGGATAAAAAAATTCAAAAAATATTTATTTTAGACATTCTAATGTAAATCCCTTTCTCTACGACGTGTATATCCAATGCATACATTGATGTAGTATCATTATAAATAGAAAAAAAACCTGAATAGTTTTTGTATGATAGCTGGACAAAGGAGAAAGTGGTAAGCAATCGTTTGATGTAACAATGAAAAATATATCCTATGCATAACACTACAAAGTATTGTCAATCTGTTTTGTTTTAATCATGATAGTGTATTCGTTTGACAAAAATACAATAAAACGACGGATTACATATTGGAAAAAATCCATTTGTTTCGTCGCAAAGGATTAGTAGATTGCCCAAAGCAAATATTTGGCATAGGGAATGGATCTTAATGCAACGAGAATAAATGTAATGCATCCTTTTGTTTTGTCTATGGTAGGTGCCATTTTATTAACTAGTGTTGTTTATTTCTTATGGGTGACGATAATTCGATATATATATAATATAAAATTAAAATGTTTCAAAACATTAAATATTCGATTAAGGAATTAAAATATAATTTGTAGAAAAATCTCTGCATTGCTAACAATTGTCTCAAAATAACTGAATAATTTTAAATTTTATTTCAGTCTAATTTCGTTTATGTTTGCCTCAACATCAATTGTGCTTACCTTTAACGTTAGCATCAATCATTTTAAAAATAGAGCATATCATACTATTAATCATATTCCACCTGTTTATCTTCCGTTCAACACTCTTAATAAATGGCTTTTGTAATCAAATAATTTCTTCTTATTCAATACTTCATGTATGCTGATATTGTGAGAATCCTGACAATTTTAGGTAAATGTGCATTCTGTTCAATGCACTGCAACAACATCAAAGAGTTAGCTATCAATGATGAAAAGATCGAAATTGCAGCTAACACTTAATAATATTCCCGATAGCTTCATCAGATAACTTGACATTGCATTTATCAATATTCCTCAGATGAAAATAAAAATCCATGCAGCATCTATGAATAAATCAAACTTTCAAAATAAAAAAGGCATATAAAAAAGAATGAATTTACAAAGTACTCATTTAGAGAAAATATCTTTCTCTCTATCGTCTGTACAGCCTTTCTATTTCAGAAAAATATTTTCCCGCATACAGAAAGTCGTGCTACCATTTCTTCTGGTAATAGTACAGTGTTCTGGTATTTCTTCAAAGGTCGATCCTCCTTCTATAATACTTAAGTAATTTTCTATTTCTGTACTTATGAAACGGTTGGCAGTTCATGCAAAAGACTCCATACTAATTGTAAATGTCGTCTATATTGTTTAATTATCGGAAACATACGGCTTGAATAATAGAAAAAGAAATATTTATACACAATTCAACAGCTGGACTTTTTTAGACAATTGAATATGAGTTTAAAAATAATCATTTTTAATGTTTATCGAATCTACTGCGTTGCTGTGATTTAAATGTAAAAGTACTACTTGAATCCATTACTGGTGTTTTGAGATTATCAGTAACAGGATACATCAGGCTCATCAGGCGTTAAATACTGTTCTGAATGTTGAGTTTCATTGTCACCGCCTTTTTCTGTTGCCGTTGGTAGTATATCATCAGTATTCTTTTGAAGTAATATCGTTTCGTGGTTCATTTTCTGTTGTTCTTTTGCAATCCGATGCTTTGTTTCAGGCAATGGAGATTTTGGACGAAGTTCATCTAGTTTTTTTCAATATCTTCAAGACTGCGTTCATTTTCATTATTTTCTTCGTTGCATTTTGTTTTCTGTGCTGATTGAAGTTTCGAAGTATCTCTTCATGATTTTTAGATTACCCACTTTTTCGATCTTCTTGATGTTTGAACATGATTGAAATTTGCCAAAAGCAGCTAGCTACAGGAAATTTATTTTTCGAATAATATTCTATACACAAGTACCCTCAATCACACATAAGCAATATATTATGCACGATAAAGGATGAGTCAAAATCATTCAATCATTATCGTACGAACAAATCGATTATTTCTTTTCTCTGTTGTGACATGCATAAAGCATACAGAGTCTATCTATGTCATATTAATTTGAGAACAAGTGATTTTCGTATTAAAAGTTCATTCTTGTAAAATATTTTCTATGCTTTCCTTTAAACTTAGACAAATCATTTTTTGAATCGTTGCATAAACTGACAATATCCAACGAGTAATGAACAAAGAGAAGTTTGATTCGTAGCTGAACAATACTTTTGATCAGTTTTTTTCTCTGTCGAAAGGTAGATTTATTTTGTTCGTATACAACTTCATTTTTCGATTAGTTTCTGTTGAAAATCAATATAAAATTATAATTTCTATCGTATATTATTTCGACATGCTAAATATCGTCTACTCGTTACTTGGTGATCTTATAGTGAAATTGATTCATTTACCAGATTTGTCTCAAGCACGTTGTACAATAGTAATTACTGATCATTACTTGATTGCTTAGTAAGTCTGTAAGATACGCTATTATGTATCGATTAGTACGTATTCAATGTACACAAACAATATTTTTCGTTGAAAACTATCGTTATTTTTATAATAGTTTGTCCATATGGAATTCTGGTTATTAATTTGACGGCGATTCACAACAGCTGGTGAAGTCGCTTTCTCGTCATTAGTATTTATCATTAGTCTAAACTGTGATTACTTATTATGAACTGACATATTTTCCCGAGCATTCTATGTAATTATCACTGTGGTATTAGACACTTTTTGTTATACAATACTCATAGTACAAGACAATATGTAGAATATGCATATAAAAAAAAATAGAACAATATGTCAACTCAGAAAGCCGTACTAACGTATTGAGTGGTGGCAATGAGGAGTCTCATATCGATCTTAACTTTATTAGTATGAAAGCTTTTTTAGTATGTTCGCCATAATTAACTGTGAAGGAAAATATTTTCAAAGGGTATTGCGACCAGTAGACTAATAATACGGAGATAAAAAACAACTTTATTTGTTTTGTTGTCACAAGTCTATCTAGTTGTGATAATAGTACAAATTAGAAGCAACTGAATGAGATTCATTGTAGCCAATAGTGCCATCTACATATGTGATTAAAGATCATGATCTGTATGCTATTGTATTTAAGAATCATTTTATTTGATTCTTGCTTAATCGATCACATAAGAAAACGATGGCTGCTAGCAATACAGCCACCGGATCAGTTATCTGGCAGTTGAATATTCTAGTGTCAATATTTATTGATGAGAAACACAAGTTGACATGTCCATAGGGTAATTTAAATGCTAAATAATTGAGAGTAGTTGGTATCGCATAATTATTAAGCATGATTACATACTGGGTAGTCCAATCCTAAAAATTGAATATATATATATATATTAATTTATGTGTTTTGTGAAGGTCATTGCACGTGAGAGTCAAGGATAGAATCGTCGTTGACGCGGCGAATTTCGTTCGTCGGTATTCGCTAGATTATTCAAGTCAAATTAATCTTGCTTCTAAAGACATGAATCATTATATTGTTGATAACAACAAGAATCATATACGGATAAATATCAGCGTAGAATTCAGTCAACGGCATAAGCATATAAAAAGAATTGTTGCTTGTTATGAATGATATTCGAGCAGCAGCAGCATCTTAACTTCATGGAATATCATTGTTTATGTGTCTTTTTCAAGATAGGAACCATTTATATAACAGAAAAACTATAATAATCTTACAGAATGTTGCCAAGTAGACACACAACATCGCACTATTACTAGCCAACCTAATAATACGTCGTTCACATAAAGAATTCATAAAGATGAAAATTGCCGTTAGAAAGTTGAATGAGATATTTATTGACGTGTCTGCTTCCAGTGGTAACTATGCGCCATGGTTTTGTCACATTTAATGAGCTATTTGACGATTGGCATCTGCTGTAATTAACCATGATATTATATATTGTTTCGTTTCTTAATAGAAAAGAAGAATGAAGGAAAATTTTAAAAATAACTTCAGCGCCTAGCAGGGAAAAAATACCAAAACGAAAATAGAGTGATACTTATAATAACATTTCATCATTAGTGCAGGGAAATGCTAGAACCATACGCTTGTCTTTTACAGATCATTGCATTAATAAACTTAACCTATACCGAGCAATGAAATAAATAGATCATAATAATTGTGAACAGCAGTATTAGTTAGTATGCTTATTTATAGGATAAACATTTCTCTATATATTAGGAAGCTACTTCTCATAGATGACCTTTATTTGCACGTTAACACCTGCTATTTGCGACTGGATAATATTAATAGACTTTGCGTTGCTTTTCTTTTTTTTTCTATCTGCCTTTCTCGTTTCTCATCAAAACCAATTTCTTTCTGTCAAACAACCGCATAAAAGAGGATGTATGTGATGTCGACGCATGATGACAGTTACTGATAACAAATAGAAAGGGATATAGAGAGAGAGTGTGTGTGTGTAAGTGTCGATGTATTAAAGAAATGTAGAGATAGAAGAAAAAAAGGCGTAAACAATCGAAAAAGAATTGTTAGTTGAAAATAAGCATACCAAAGTACACTTGGGAACTAACAGTAGAATATGGATGGTAGACGAACGTTATCACTAATTGCTCAAGAATCTGGCGATCGTCGGCCAAGTAAAATAGGTAATACAATAGCATCAATCGATGATGGCAGTTCATCGGAAGTCAGTGGAGCAGATGGGTTAACGGACACTGGTTTACCACGGCGTCGTTCAGGTCGTGTTAGTTTCTTTTTTCATCTGAAAACATTCAGAATGGTTCTATCGTTTAATATTATTCTATAGGTTAATGCTCTTCGATTTTTACCTGATAATATGCTCGTCTTAGTATTTTCTTATATAACACCTCTTGATCTCATACATTGTACACATGTGTGTCAACGGTGGCATACGCTTATTTCCCGCCATAACTATTTATGGCGACGTCTTTTCCTACGTCCCGAATGTAGTAGTGGTCAAATTGGTGCTGTTCATGTTCGCCGTTTAGATGCATTTCTTCATGCCATTGCGACACGTTTCAGTACGTCGCTTAGTTATATTGATTTGCCTATTGAATTAATAACTGTTGAAGTTCTACGTGAATTAGCTATACGTTGTCCAAATTTACAATATTTAACGCTTGATTTTTCATCAGCTATGCAATTACATGATTTCAGTGATTTAAGTGAATTTCCATGTAACCTTAAACGACTCTGTATTTGTTTGTCCGAAGTCATTTTTCTCGAAGGTTTCATGCGACGTATCTATGGTTTCCTATCGTCAATACGTACTTTACATATCTTTGGTACACTCGAAAAATCATCATTAACATCAACAGCAGCACCCGAAGAAACCGATGATTATGAAACAATAAATATTAGTAAAATTAAAACCCATGCGCCTAATTTACATACAATTAATTTATATGGAGTATCTTTTATTGATGATAGTCACATAGAAGCTATTGCATCCGGTTGTATACATCTTCAATGTCTTGCTTTAAATTTTTGTGTGCGAGTCAAAGGTAAAAGTTTCAAAAATTTAATGAATCGATGTCGAAAACTGACATGTTTATTATTACAAAATACGGGTAAATAGAAATTAAATTAAAAAATTTCTTTTTAGAATATTAAAATATTAAGTTTGTGATACGATTTGTTTGTGTATTCGATTCTTTTAGGTATACAAGATGAGCCTATGCTTGCTGTAAATTGGTCAACAACTCAACTGTCTGAATTAGACATTTCATCAACAGATTTAAGTGAAGCAACTCTTTTAGAATTTTTTACTGTCGCACCGAAACTTACATATTTAGCTGTTCCTTTTTGTGATGGCTTCACAGACACGGTAATATGATCATGAATGATTCGAGTCAAATTTATTATAATAATTTAGGTCTTAAATTTGTTATTGGATCGAGGAAAATTAAATTCATGTCGAGCACTTGATATAAGCAATACAGTTAATCTTAATGTTGATGCTGTTCATCGATTATTAACATCATTCACTAATATATCTTATCGAATTGAAGCATTAAGTTATACTGGCCATGTAGACATAACAGAACAATTCTGGATAAATGCAATTCGATTTCTTCATCATATCAAGTAATAAAGATTTTAATGAAAACAAAAAAAGAACAGGCAAGAGATTATTTTATCATGTTTTTTTTAGGATACTTGTCATTGGTACTGCACACAGTTGGTTTAAACAAGCAACACGACGTATTCATGTTGATCAAATACTTGAAGCGTGTGCAGTTCATTGTCCACATTTGAAACGTCTCGAAATACAATGGGATCCCGAAACGCTTCGATTCGGTGACAATTCATCGAAGTTTATTGATCATCTCAGGTAAATACTTTACAACTTGTAATAGTTGATAAACTCTATTATCATATGAATAGAATACGATGCACAAATCTATCGTCATTTGTTCTTTCGGATGGACCGTATTATGAAGGAGCAAAAGCAAATTTTGAACGAGCAGAACGGCACTGTATCGTGCGAACGACAACTATGTATCAAACAAGTATTGTCAGTAATCTTAATTTTTATGATGAGTTGAAATTTAATTAAAAAATTGAAATAAAATATTAAATAAATTTTACAACATTCTGCTAGAAATCTATGTAATTGTCAATCATAATTGTGTTTTATTTGGCACACAGAAAAAAAAAGAAAACACTACTGTTTTTTTTCTTCGAACACGTTGTATAAAGGGAAGAATGAACAATTAATACGTGGCAATCTGATTTAATTACTATGACAAAGCCAAAAGAAAAAAAGATCGACTATGTAATATGTCGAAACTTCTGAGATGTCGTTATTGACCAATATTGATTTTCTTCCCTATTATATTTTTCGTATTTTCTTTTATAGTTTCGTTGATTAACTAACATTTTCCTGCAGTAAGTCATTGCATGAGTGAGCATTCTAGAATGTCAAACAGACACAGAATATAAAGAAAGCTAAGAAACAAAACTACTGTTCGCACACGACGTGATCCACAGCCTCACGTTGAGCAATTGCTGGATAACTTATCATTAGTCATCGTTAAAAACACAAAATTTTATATTAATCACGCACATCTGGATCTATCGAATGATTCATGTTTTTCGAACTTACATATATTTTAGAAGCGAGATTTTTGTGGCTTCTTACCCTCCTCCTCATTACAGACATTAATGATTTTAAACGTATACCAATTAGGAACTAGCCTAATGATAGATTTTGAAAACTAACCTAGATTTCTCATTTTAGTTATTTTGAATTATTTTAGTAAGCCTAAGAGGGGTACACGTGAGTTCCACATTTTAGCCCCGAAAGGGCTGCGCTGACAAGCTTTTTTCATAGCTATTTCCGTTATCAATAAACTTATTTTTTCTTCGACATTTATTTTTCGGTGTTTTCCATACATACTAATTAAATGAAAATTTTCAAAACCTTATCGATAATTATTCACATTAGGTGAATCTTAAACAGCAGAATATAGACAATATTGTACCATTACCGAAAAATATTTCGTCGCTTCGAATAAATGCTTATTATGAACTTTCATTTTTTTCCACCTTGTCAAATATGAACTTTAACTGATATATTCAATACTATTTCATTAAAAGAACTTGAACATGCGTACACTTTTGAGTATTCTTTCGGTAAATTCGAATTCGAACGATTTTCAGAAATTCAACAAAGAATTCTCTTACTAGGCGAATTAAGCTTAACAAATGTGCATTTCTTACGAAACTTGTTACAAATATCGACTTATTACCAATGGCTATGGCTTCATTGGAATCTTTACGAATAACTGGATGTAACAATATATCAATGGTTAATAATCTACTTGATCGTATACCAAATTTTAAATGTCTTGACGTATCTATTTTTCCATGATTTGAAACTGACGTTAATGAAGTTCAATATATAAAACAACATGATGGAAATAATTCTCTTATTAATTTGACTATCAGACTTTATGATATGAAGGAACTAGAACAGTTGATGCCATTATTTGTTCAAAACTGTTCAAATTTAAAAAAGTTTATTATTCATCTAAGCTCTATCACGGAATTTAATTTTACCAGAGAAACGTGTACAAATAATTCGATTGATTTGCTTCAATCAGTAACAAATATTATTACTAAATTCCTATCTCAACTTACAACTTTTCATCTTGGTCAACGTGTGATTTGAGATAGAAATGCTTTTCTTCTTGTTTCATGTTATTTGTCATCTTACATGAAAGAAATCTTCAACGGCTTAAAAATATAGATCGTACCAAATATTTATTGCTCCAAACTTAGTAACTCCATGGGAGTAGTATCGATTGATTTAACATTATGGATTAAAAAATTTTCTGCTCATTGCATTAATTGAATCATTTTATGAATAAAGAAAAACGATTTTTCTAAAACCTAAAACCATTAAAAATAGAACACGGCTACTAGGTATTTCTACGAATATGATTGATCTTTACATTATACTATTATCATGCATAGTATTCAAATATTTTGTTACTCATTAAAATGCAATTATAAGCAAGTTACATGTATTGATTCAAGCTCGTTTTGTTTCGATGATTTTTGATAGAAAAGAAGTCATTTCCGAGAGTTGATTGATTGCTCACAACAATGTCTTTTTCTATTCGGCAATTCTTTCACAGAGAATATGCCTTTCAAGAATTCATTGTTAGACATTTTCAGCACAATTTAGATAGGTCACCTCAAATTCACAACTATCAGATGAGCAATAAATTTTATTTAAATATTCACAAAGATATTCTTTTGCTGAAAAATAGACTTCACATGCAATCTTTGGGTTATTGTTTCCTTCAGCAGAACACATGCCAGAATTGTATAGCTTCACGTGATATTGAGCAATATTTGTGTCGGTTTAAGACAGCGTCTTTCTAAACGCAGAAACAATTTCAGACGAAATCGAAAAGAATTCTAGTTTAAACATTTTGTATTTGTCAATTATAAGTAAATAGTGCTTCCTTAACAGTTGGTGTCAACGAGAAATGAATGATAGATTGCTTTTAATTTTTGAGTACGTGTGCTTGAAATTCCTTTATGTTCTTTTGTTTTTATTCTTTGTGTAATCTAAACTAGCATGATATACTATTCTTTTACGTCATGATTTTTAATAAGTTTGCTTAATATTATATTCATACAGGAATATATCTTACATAGGATCGATTTTCATAAATATTGCCAATTGAACACATTTTCATTTAGATTATTTCTATGAAAAAAAACGGAATGATCAAGTTTCATTTTTTTTTATCGAATAATTGTTCTCTAAGAAATAATTCATAATAATCTACAGAGCGAAAAACTATCTCATCTAATTATATTTCCAAATTGTTAATTTCCTCTGTTTTCAATTACTGTTATAAACACGAAAACGAGATTATTCATGCGTCGTTGCACATTGATTTAATTTCATGTTTACTATTAGGAAGAATAATAATGAACAGTCAGACTGGACTAGTTCAAGCCAATTTTTTTCTCTATCAATAAACATTTCAGATACACTGCATTCGAAATAGGATTTCCGAGAGTATCAACTTCGAAGACAAAAGTAATATTACTCAAAGTTAACAACTAGAGAGCATTATTAAGCAAATGGTCGAATGATGTCATGGAATATTTGCAAAAGCTCAGTGAAACTACTTATAACAATGGTAGCTAGTTATTGTGAAGCCAAAGAAAATAAATAATATGGAACTATTGATAGTTTCAGATTTTTCTCGCTGATCATATGTGCCAAAATGTTGGTACTAGCATGATTTTTTTGTCTTTTCCACTACTATCTGCATGCAATATTCAGAATGAAATAACTAGCTACTCGTGAACTATTTTCTAAGTAAATTTCATTCGATATTATCATAAACTATAAAGAAAATACGTTATGCTCATTATACAAATATAAAAAAGAGGCAAAAAAAAGTAGTGTCTATCACATAGTTAGAACCAGATTGAGTTTCCAATTGATTCGTCCCACTCTAATTGTTTCCACGTTTGATCCATGACACAATAACCTAATTCCTGGCTCATTCTAGTCGACACGCCGCCGCTTTTTATTAGTTTATCATTCAGAACATCTGAGCTCATCTATTGATTAATTTATTTTCTTTTTGAGAACTGCTATGTATCAACATAAGAAAAAATGTCGGAGATATGTATGTCACAGTTGACATGAAAATTTCAGTTGAGATTGGAATGCGCGAAAAACATAATTAATCGAAAAAATATGGTTTTCTTTTTTTTCTGCTCGTGATAATAGATTATAGAAAAACAGAATAGAAAAGAAATATTTCTCAGATAAATTCAATGTTCCCATAGTTAAAAACATAGACAGAGTTGAATTATTTAAAAACTCATTGTAAAAAGATGCAAGGAATAATTCTCAATATAAAAATTTCTAAAGTCAGATCTCAACAAAAATTCTATTAAAAGAATTAAGAAAAAAACTATTCCAAACTCGGCTGCCACATGTGCAAAGAAAAAACATGCAGCTTACGTATTTTCACTCTACTTATTTTGATTGTATTACCTAATTTAATGCTGTCTCTATTAATTAGATTCGATTCATTGTTTTAATAATTATTTATCAAGATGAATAAATTTTTTCTCCATTAAGAGAAGAATTGATATTTGATGAAAAACCTTAATCATTCAGAACGTAACCACTGCGATCATTAACTGTAAATAGAAACATAAGGCCTTGATACAAAGAACGATCAGCATATTATCAGAGATACCACCATCTACCATCCTTTATGACATGCCAAGAACGTCGATCAATAGCACTATGTGACTAACCATCAATGAAAAATAGTAATGTCGTCTCTCGTGGTGTTGAGCTAATATTAATGGATGATATACTATGCGAAAGTATGGAATGAAACGAATTCCAAGTTAGTTAGGAGAGCATAACGGTAAAAAAGAATCAGTTAGAGACATTATTTGGTTCAAACTCGAGGGGCATGAAAAAAGGCAAAATCGACTGTTTTTCTCAAAATATTACAAAATTGATGTGTTGTTTGTTAATTTTCTCCAGGCATAGCCACTGCACTAAATTGTATTTGATTCCATTGAGCTAGATGAGACTATATTTGAAAACAAAATGTTTTTATTAGATAGGCTGAAGTTCTCTAGAGTACGCAACTCCTAGCGAGTCAATGCTAGTTAACTGAAGCATATCACATAGAACAAAAACAAAAAGATTGCAATCAGACGTAACTTCATTACTGCGTGGTCATAGTTTTCCTTCTAGATAAATATTAATCAAATAATAATATAATTTGAATCATAGCAATAGAGTTTTTCTCGCAAACAGACATCTTGATAAACAACCTTAATATAGTAAAGTCGCTAGCATACACTTATCTTCAATGTGCTAACAGCCTTACAGAATGAACGATAGAATTGATGAGAAAAGTAAATAGAAAAAAAAACAATCTGAAGAATGAAAAATTTCATTGTCTACTGAACACTGATGTTGAATAGAGCACGTTTTATTAACTCTATTGGCCTATAAATAGAGATTCATTTGCTTTTTACATCACGTAGACAGATCAATCGTCTCGTACAGAAGAAATATTCAAAGTAAATTTGCCTTTTTATTCGTATCTTTTTAATGTAATGTCGATAGAAAAATTCTAGAGAGTAATATTCTAGTGTCCTATAATTATCAGTCGATGCGGGCTTGATGTATAAGCTCGCTACGATCGGAAAAATAAATAAACATATATCTTATGTAGTGGGGTGTCAAACTTATATTTATCTTCCTTTTTTTGACAATAACAATAGTGGTAATAATAATTCTGCAGCTAGAAAAAGAACCGAACTGCAGTTGATATACTCACAGCCAACCGCTCGCCATTCGAAACCGCTGTCTTTGTCGTGACAGCTGTGGCGATGATCATAATAAGTGAGATTTATAGAAAGAACTCTGTTGGTTTTTAATTGATGTTAGACGATAAATACTCAGTGAATATGTTGAAAGCAAATGTGCTGTCAATAACAATAGTGTGTTTGCTTATTTAGTAGATTCTTTCATCATTAATATGATAATATTCATCTTTCGATATCTTTTTCCAGATTGCCAGATGGACAAGATTATAAATGTGTTTTCTTGTGAGTATCGTATACTCGTTTCTATGTAATGTTGTCCTTATCAATATACTATCCCTTATTAACAACAAATAATAATAATAATAGCATTACTATAGAGAATAGTATTTACGTATTAACTAGTAGACCTATTAGAAGTTACTTTATACAAGTCAATAATATGATGATGATGAGCAGAACTATTATTGTCGAACAACTAAAACGTTTGAATTTGTGTCAACAGGCATGAGATTGAGAAATAAAACAGAATAAATAATGTGAAATATAGATGTAATTTACAAATGAGAAAATACACTGTAAGAGTAAATGGCTGACAACTAGTTTAAAAATACGAAAAGAATACCTTTTAGTTATTCACATACATGAATAGAACAACATAAGCACATTCTCGGATGTGAGAAAAACATTCCAATCGTATATTCATCATCTGTCGATAAAAGATTTATATTTCCCAATCGAATTTAACCAATCATATATTGGGTTAAATATAAATGGAAAAGAAAATTATTGCATGTCTCTCATTCCGTTGTATCACGTTACTTCAGTATTAAGCATCGGAGTTTTACCGCGTGTCTAAGTTCTATTTCATTTTAAGGTTATTAACAGTTAGTATGATTTCATCAAGCAATTCATTGAAACTGCAGAAATATAATGATATGAATATTACAGAAGCCATTTCATATTTTTGGCTTCCATCGCAACATGATTCAGCCATGGATAATGTATTCGAGCAATTTATAAATTCAAGCACAGCAAAGTCGTTGAATTATTCGTCGATACATCGTATTGTTATACGGTTTTTTAGTCTATATGCACTTGCACTTGTTATTATTGGTACATTAGGTAATCTAATTACAATAATTATTCTATGTCGACCAAGTTTAAGACGTTATGTTACAATGAGATATTTAGTTGCTGTTAGTGTATGCGACATTATATCACTATATGGTTGGAATCTGAATAATTTTTATAAATTTTCCATTAGTTCTAGAAGAACTAATTTAGAAGAGATATCTTTAGTACATTGTCGAGTTGTATCATATTTAACGTTTGTTGGTTTACAATTGTCAAGTTGGCATTTAGCAGCTGTTAGCCTAGGTAAGTTTCTCTGTAGAATGTTTTTTTCGACTCATCGAATTAAAAATTCGATTACTCTTAAAATGAGAAAAGTTTACTGCGTGGAACAATAATGTTAATATGATGAATAAAATATTATACATTTAAATATGGAGATAATGAATGCAATCACGTGAAATAAATCACATCCATTATTTTAATTTCAGTTCTTATTTTTTAAATAGGATAAGCACGTAGCAATTAATAAATGCTATTAGAATCGATTAACACGATTTGGGTAGTTTTTTTTTCATGTAAATTTTCGTATTGAAAAGTAAAGAAGTGTCGTGATGATTTTTTTGCTTAACAATATGGAGTGGCGAAAGTGCAAATTTTTTCTCAAGGGAATCACTCTAAATTTCTTGAATAAATCACAGCCACCTTTCTCGCATTTCTTGTACTTAATGTTTGCTAATTCATACTTTTGCTTCAGGCAAATATCAAACATCTTATTCGCTGTCTAATAAGAAAGATTTGTTGAATAAAAACACAACTCTTCTTTATTCTCTGTTAAATGTTAATCGTTTTTTGCTCTCTATTCTTAGATCGTTGTTGTAGTCTTTATTTTTTAACATGGAAACAAACATACGGTAAATTATCTCGTACTAAATATCATATTGGTATATTAGCAATAGTTTGTCTCCTATTAAATTCTCATATATTATTTTTAAACGGTTATCGTGATGGTCCACCCCATTATAAAGTCGAATGCTATAAACGACGAACAAATCCATTCTATATATTCCCACAATGGGAACGCATTCATTTGATTCTATATAATTTATGCCCATTTAGCATTATGCTTTTATGCAATATTTATATAATCTTTGTCACTGTTCGTTCGGCTCGTATTCGCACATCAATTCCGGCGCCATCATCGAGGAAATGTTCACGTCCAAGTATAGCACGTCACCGGCAATTATCATTAATGTTAATTCTCATCACATTTGTATTTGTACTCTTAACGTTGCCATCATGTATTTATTTTGTATTTTTTCGTCATCGAATGTCTCCGAAAAAATATTCTCGCAATCATCGCCATATGATACAAATATGTTTAAGTAGCATACAATTTACTTCACATGCAATAAACTTTTTCCTATATTGCTTTTCGGGAACTAATTTTCGCACTGAATTACATGATTTTACAAGTGAATTGTGTCTTAGTCGATTAAGTGCATTGAAATTCAAGAAAACAACTACAGCAACATGCAGAATTAATCGAAATAAACAGAACTATGAATCTAATATGACATTTGATTATCAAAAAACAGAATTTTCAAATTCATTAAAAGAAATGAAAGTAAAATTCAAGCAGCAAAAAATAAAAGACAATCCTGACGGTAATGAGCGTATCACTCTGAGCAATGCAGTCTAATGTGATATACAAAGGAAAAAAAATTCAAAACATTTTAATTATTTTTTTTCCTCATAGTGTAAAAAAATGTATTTGTCAGTTTTGTGATGATAAATATTGATTAGAATTTTATTTTAATTATAAATAACTAGCAAACAATTTACTAGCTTGTTTTGTAAAAGACAAGCATGCAAAAACTGAAATAAAATAATGTAAATATCAAAAACAAATTTACCAAGTGATCAGTTTTTAGTTTATTTTAGCGACTCATACTATATACTGGAAGAACTTTTCTGTGTTGAATTTAACTTCAATTAAAATAAATATTCATTCAGAATTAAATCTTTCTTATCAAATCTAATTTATTTAATAATGTATGATTTAATTAGGACTATGCTAATGATAAAAACGTTTCCAATGATTAACATCTGTTAATGTGATTTTCACAGTTAGTTAAAACAATAAAATGTGATAACGTAATGTGAGATATCTATCACTATACAAAATATTAGCATGTGTTCAAAGTCAGACGAACCTATAGGCATTCCTTGCGAGACTAATAACATATTAAAGAAATGCCAACGAGATAATTCTTCATGTCTCTACATACCAATACCATTCGATTCAACTAAAAGCTTCAACACCAACGATACATCGACAGATGAGTCCAACTGTCGGTGAGATCAAAATTCGTTGTACCATTATAAATCGCTAATATTCCTCGTATGCAAAACTATCAGCCTGTTTATTTTATAGTTGTTTTTAAGCCTCATATGGTTTTACTGATATGCAAAGTGAGGTAATAAATGCTTCGAATGATTTAATGATGTTCGTCCACCAGCTAATTTTGGTTAAATGTCAATGAGATCTGAAGAAAAAGGCTATATTATTTTTTTCAAAGAAAATCCAAATGATATGTTGAAAGATTAATTTATCTGGAGACAGTTCATAATTCACTTATTATAAGATATAGTATTTTTTGTTTGTCTACTATTTCAACAGTTGTTCTTATGATTTTGATTGGCATCTATTTTATTTTTATACTTTGATCCGTCATATATTGTAGAGCATATTATAGTTATTATTGTTATTATCTACACAATTTATTACATTGAATCCACAACAGATTTTCTCGATTCGTAAGTAGATTTATTCTAAAGACAGAAAATTGATAATAATAATAATTAGAAGAAGAAGAAGAAGAAGAAGAAGAAGAAGAAGAAAAAACAGATTGAGTATTATACTGGAGGCTATATGAAGAAGCATTTTTACAGTCTCGCCAAGATAAACGGCTTGCCATTTGAATACATACGTCAGAAAAAAAAACGCATTCGCCTATAGAATCTTTCATAAGAACTTTTGTAAAAGAGCAATGAATCACATTGAAATCTATGTCCAACTCGGACATAAATTGTTCAATGCGTACTTAAGCAATTATTAAAAACAGAATAATGAGCTTTTCTTTATTGAAGTATGGCATGAGACATTTTAATTTAAATAGTTTTCATTTACAGTTAAGGGTCGCCCACAATTTTGTATTGATTTCCGGTTTTCAAACAGGTTATAATCAATCAGGCTTCGAGTTCTTCGTTTTGATACTTGGACCTTTTCTTGAGTAGTTTTTAATTTTCCTCTCCTACATTCATAAGATTTTGAGCGAGAAAACTCAGCTTAGGTATTAATCTCATTTCACATGTACTTGTCTCATAGACAAAATACCGAAAGTCTTACAATATGAGCTGCAAAAATATTTTTTAATAATTTAGGACAGTAACTTGTTTAATAAAAATTTTATTAAAATTAGAGATTCGCTGAATATTTCAGAATGCTCAATCTAACGTATAAAATCCTAGAAAAACATAAGAATGTTTTTCTTTTGACTATACGACATTCAAATTTACGAATCATTAAATACAAAAAGAAACGTAAGAATTGCCGTCAACAGAATAGTATCAAACAATATAAAATAAAAAAGTTCATGATTGTTTTATGTTAAATCTGATTCAGATATTTAGTTGGGTAAGATCAAGTCTAAGAGATTCTCCTTCGCTGCAGCTCAAGATATACTCCCAAAAACTTTCGATCAGCTTGATAACAGAGTGAAAAAAAGACTCATTCAAGAGAACTATGATCGAAATACCCTATTTTAGTAAAGTTACAACTCAAATTGGTCTATGAACTAGATATTTAACATAAATCTGCACAAGTAAATCATAAATAAAATCAAACTGACTTTTTCTAACTCGATTTCGGTTAGATTTGTCCTCATATTTGCTCAAATTCATCTGGGTTCATTTTGTTTCGGTGCGTTTTTCGTCTAGAATGCATATATTCATCTGCGAGTGCACATTCACAGATAGATAAATCTAACATTTACATCTTTTGAATCAAATCCACTCCCAATCAGGCAAAACTAAACTTATTAAGATATTCGCGACAAATATAAATTTCAAATATTTCACACGAGTTGAGCAATTATTTCACGGTCTTTCTTCGGAAGAACTTGAAGATATTTACCATTTTCGAGAAATGTTTCAACTTTTCTGATCGAGACAACGTGTAACTATTCTATAAGTCTGCCCGGTTTGCAGTCTTATAATTACAACAGATTTCTCACTGAGCGGCTAGTTTTGTCTCATATATACGGTGGACGTGATCCTTTTGAACACTGCATTATTGATTGAAAGCTTCTCCTCATTCTATAATTATTAGATGAAAACACAGAGAATTTTCAAAACAACCAGAAAACAACAGTTGTGGGACTAATTTAATTCAGTTTCATCTACATACACGATAAATTCATCACAATTTCTAGAAGAATGAGACAATATTCCAGAGTACTTATCCAGTTTGCGTCCGTTAGTAGATACGATAATCTAGAATTCTAGGAGTTCAGTTTGAATAAATTCTTCGTGCTGCAATGAAACTTGACATATCAGGAATAAACTGAAGACTTTGAAAAAATCATCCAACGTCTTAGTGCAGGTGAGCGCCTAGCCGTTCCCAAGTTGAGAATCAATTCCACCGCAAGATGCCTATAGCCTATTCGTAATAAAATCTCACATAGCCATACGATACATCTAACACTATAAACATCATCGAATGGTACCCTCAAAAACTTTCCCTACAAAGAATTCCTATCACATAAATGCGGCGATCTAAACTGCTCCTAATCCATTATAAACTTCCTTGAATTATAAAATTTCAAAAAACTAACAACGCCATCATGTTCCCCCGACCCCCGATTACCTTCGGTCAACCCCTATAAAACTATTTTTTTTCAAAAAACTCTCCCCTCAAAAAAATATTTTTTACTAAAAAGATTAAGGGTTAAAAATGTTTGAAATTCTGATGCTGGATTCGATCTCCTTGACCCCGAAAACATTTGGGCAAACCTATCCGTACAGATATTGTTTGAGGTTAGTTGAGTTCATGCATCTGCTTTCCTATTGGACGAACGAACGAACGCGATCTACTCGTTTCGGCGTAAGACCCTCCTTTCAGTAGAGGAAATAAGATCTTTTGCTTATTGTTGTCTTACGCCAATTACATATACGTTCGTCATTTTACTTCATATATTCCATATGCGCTCCTATTTTTCTGTGAGTTATCATGAAGCTATACACTGCTGCTATTTAGATGTACGAGCAGTAAAAGTATAGTTGCACCAAAAGCCAGAAGAGAGCGGGGTCTATTGCTATTAATGTGGGGCCTAGTAGGATGAGAAGGAATAAAGATGAGCGACGCAGAGAACAAAATGTATCTTCTACTGCACACTTCAGTTTTATATATTATGCATTATTGATCCTCACGAGTGAAGAAAGGCTATATATTCTACGCATCCTACATTCGTCACACTCACTATTTTATTTTTAAAACATAAAATAAGTGAAATAAATCTATGTATGTAATGACTACGCAAACATATTAAAAAATTAATGACAATCAATCGTTTTAATAGATTAAGACGAGTTTTACAAAAAGAAGTAGCTGCCATTAGATTAAAAATAAACTTGAAAAATCAAGCATTGTCTCATTGACTCATGACGACCGCTGCATGCGCCGTCACAACTAATTCGTTTGTTTCACTAGTTGTCACATATCTCTTAAAGTGTTCTCACCAATGCGCAAAGGTTTAGAGCACGCTGATAATTTCTTTGAGCTCCTAATTCATTATTTTGATTCTCCCTGCCTTGGTCGCCTTTTTCTTCTGAGAAAAGAGCAAGTTCAATCACTAGTTTGATCAGAATGCGTGTATCTTCATCGTAAATACCGTTGATTTTGATGTAAGATGTTCGTAATTCTTTGAAACTTTTCAATTCATTTGTTTTACAACGCAGAAGAATCGAACGAACACTAAAATATGCATGAATGCGACATAGAATATATGCAGTATTCATATTTGCTTGAATATTTGACCAAACATAAGTATAAACGTGTCTCCGTCTAGTTAAGATATGCTCTTTATATTTAAAAAGTTGATTATTGATGGCCCTCATTGTTTACGATAATAGTTTGCTCGTCGCATTTCCTTTGGTCTTCGATACATCAAGTGCTTCTCCGTCGGTCACTATAAGATTCAATTGACTTTATCTTCCAATAATTTGTTTTTTTGAAATTTATTTTGATCCTTTGCTTTAGCTTGTTCATTTCTTTCAAATATATTTGGAGCAATTGCACATTCAAACGCGATCAGAGAATGCTCAGTCATCAACGCTACACTTGATCTTACGTGAACATAAATGCTAACGTATATCATAGGTCATTGGCCACGATCAAGAAATCGATTATGAATCATTTATTTGTGTTATCCTTCCACAGTTTATCACATATAATTGTGTATATCGTTGTGCTGAAAGCAATAATTCTAGATTGATAGATTGCTACTGGTGCAGAATTACAGCGGTTATCAGCCCTGATAGTTCCCACTGTTAATATCTTTACGGCTGATTATGTTCTTTTTACATTTTCATATGATTTTGCAAGATGTGCATTGAACTTCCGCACAGGAAATATGCAATGTGCCCAAAACATGTCAGAATCTGAGACAGGCCGATTTGCCACTCAATGCAAACATATGTAATATTAACGAAAGCTCTCCTCATCATTTGCAGACACCACTTAGTAAATCAATCAACAATTTAGCTTCATTTGACAATTGCGCTATTGAGACAGAGGGAGGTGGCGAGACTTCTGTATTTCCATTGTAGTTTAAAAAACTGTTGACGAACGGAAATCGAGCATTTTCCGCCGTGTGCCATGTCCAATACAATGAGTAATCTCGAATATTTCATTGATGTAAAACTGTCGTTTCTACCCAGGTGAATGCATCCGATACCGAATCCCGTCGGATCTTATAAAATACGACGAGCCGACAAAGCCCAATGGGATTCCGGATTGAGGAACTACTAACGGATCCGTAGTGTTGGAATCCGGTGAATATCCGACTAAATCCAACAACCGAATCCGATAGGAATTTCAGCAGTCGGATTCCAACACGAGGGATCCGTGAGTGGGTCCACAGCCCGGATTTGCTTAGAATCCTACAGGAACAGATCAAAATCCGGTTGTATTCAGCTATCGGATTGTTTGTCCTGGGTATTGTTCACTTCCGTTAACTGTAATATAGATGACATTCGTTTTGACTGATCTGGTTTAAATCAAGACTTTCATTCGGTATTGCCATCATAAATATTATTTTTTTCTCAGCTATTCTAACGTTTACATCTACATTTTCCTCACGAAATAACAGCCATATCAAAATCTATCTACACGTAGATGAAAGTGGAAAATGGGTCCATTTGAAGGCAGCATATACCTGCCTCTTACATCCATTATTACATACATGGTATGATTCAAGCAGAAAATTGTGATTGTTAACGTACATAAAAGTTGTCAACGTTTGAGGGAGAGGAAAAAGCTTCATTCACTTGAAAAAAAAATTTAGTAACAGTGGAATATTTGCCAACTAAGATTTTCCAATAGGCAAATCCGTGGCAATAATAATTGATTTGTCATATGATTGGATTGAGCTTTTGTATACAGGTAACGAATAGATAACTTCTTTTACAAAATCATTCTTTTGATAGTCAAATAGAAAGTCAAAATAAAATTTAACATGAAGCGATAAGAAATTTTATTTGATTCACCTATGAAGTCTAATAAAACGACGATATTTTATATGTTATAGAGAGAAAGTGTAAAAGTGTGCTAAAAACAAACAAACGAAACAGTTGGAAGAATCCAAAAGCCAAAATGGGGAATATTTTTATCAAGCGTATGCGTAGCTACTCATTCGTCGACATTGCTTCAATTTCGTGCACCGCGATAAAAATCATGGCTGAAGCTCAATTATTTTTCGTCTCAGGTTACCTGCTTGTTGACTCTAGGTGTGTTTTTTTTCTTGTTTTGCACACACTAATAAGACGTAGGAATGTGCGTATTCGTTTGGTATGGATGCATGGGTATGGGTGTCCGTATGGGTGGGAATAAAATATAATAGATGTCGCCTTACATTGGAGAGGTGCATGCAATAGAATGTTGCAGCTTGCTTCGTGAAGAAAGCTCGGAGTATAATAAGGTTCTTTGGGACCGTGTTATTGTGGAGATTTACCTATTCTACACGCCCAACTACATCAAGAAAAATCCTGTTGAATATGTCTGAGTGCATGACAAATCTCAGTGATAATATCATTGGGATTTTCCAAAAAATGTAAGTGTCACCTATCCGCATATAGATAGATAAGGAGGTAAATAGATAAAACGATAAATCGGTAGATGGATAGATAAAACCTGTGATCACGCAATATCTGCAAGAGATCAACATGTTCAAAGAGAGATATGGCATATCGACGCTTGTTGGGTGGCCTGCAGGGCCATCTTGCCTCGAGGCTTAGATAAAGGTGTGTGTAAAACCTTTGGTCACGTAACACCTGTGACTACGATTTTTAGTCACCGTCTCGGAGTCTTTTTAAAACTAGTTGCAGTCAGGCATGACCGTGACCACATTGTATGTCCCTATACTATCTACCTATTTATCTATTTACCTATCTACCTACCTATCTATCTGTATGCGGATAGGTGACACTTTGATTTTTGGAAAATCCTAATGATATTATCACTGAGATATGTCATGCATTGATATGCCTTAATAGTGATAGTTGTTGAGGCTAATCGCAAGTCATTTCAATTTTTCTATTGTACATTTGAAAAACGTATCGTCATACAAAAGAAAATTGGAGTTTTGAAAAAAAAAATAGTAACCTATTAGATTCTATTCGAGTATTGGAGTAGTTGTTTACCTGTTACTTTTTTCCTCAAGCAGATTCACTACATAGTTTAAATATTCCTTGTTTTGATTAGTAACTTCAAAGGCCTTACGTCTTCTTGAGGATTTAGTAGATGATAAAACATTGAAAATTAGCGTCCCATAGTAGAAAAATATGACACTGTACTAGAACGGTGAGCCACTTTATCAGTGGATTCTGAAATAAAAAGAATAATGATAAGAGCTGAGGCAGTAAAAGTTTGGGGGTGGGGGAAATCTTGGTAAGATTAATAATTAGCAGCCAATTCTAAATAGCATGAATCTTCAATGCTTTCGTCTAAAGTTTTACTATTAAACAACAAACGTAGCAGAGTTCAACTAAGTGTGTACCAATGAATAGCCAAAAAGAAGTTCATGGCATATAAAAAGGTTGATGGATCAGATCGAACTGTTATTAGTATTTTTTTGCCAGCTCTCTTGATTCACCTTGCAAGCATTTTCATTTTTCAAATTACAACTTTCAACCACATGGTATCTCATAAAAGTGTTCAAGGAAACTTTAAAAAATATTAACGATGGGAATAGAAGGGATGCTAGAAATCTAGAGAAATAGTAACTATTAGGATGTGGGTGTTGTAAGAGACGAATAAACCTAAGCAAACAAAAGTATGAGTCTGACGAAGGGCAGATAAACGGAGTCTTATGTATAGATCCAATATCCGTAATGTCATAAATATCTACAATATGTTCTAAGTTGATGCTCAATTGAATTTTCGCGAATAGTTTTACTAGACATCATTTGGTCGAAATTCGAACCTTGAAAAAGCCTCCAACCAGTTAAGGATTGAATGATGTGTAGGTGAATTTGACCGTATCTGAATTCCTAGTGTTGGTGTTGAATGGATTAAAGCATGATCAATAAACAGAAGAGGGCTAGTAGAAATTCAGAATCAAAATTCCAATAATCACTTCAATTTTATATCAGACTTTCTTCAATGAAGAAAAATTGACAGTAATAATTGCATGAATCTAGTTCGTTGATATTCATCTAAGAATGTAAATGTGAGGCACGCTATCGATGTAAACAGTAAATGGTTTAACTATTTATAACAGTCATAGGATTCTTCTTCTTTCATTTCACTCCCGAGGAACTCTATATTTCATGATTTAGAAACTCTTGAAGAATTTGAGAGATTCTTATAAGTTCTACAAAAGAAAGTTGTTTCTACTCCACTGTAAAAGCTACTGATTATAGAATTGATTTGTATGTTGTACATAAAACTGCATTTGTCGTAGAATAATGAATCTTTTCTGTTACCCGCACGTATTCTAATATACCCTTGATGCTTTCGTAAAACACTTCTTCGTAAGCCGTACATTAATCAACGCATCGAAACAAACTGATGAACTTTATTGGGACACCATTTATTATCATCCCTCTGAGAGTATTTTAATAAACACTTTTTGTCAAAGCGAAGAATATTCAACCTTTCACCGTGGAGTAACAAACCCTTCACAAAAATCGTGCAGGAATCTACCCCTCTTCATTGAATAATGAACCGTTACTTAAATCCCGTAGATTATTCTACATCTATCCGGTTAATAATAAACTCTTTGGGTTAAAATAATGGATGAACAACCCTTTAAAAATTTTTATAAACCATTTGAAAATGAATGTACCCTTCCAATCAAAAATTCTCCTGCTCATGAATCCCTCAAAGGGTTTATGCCGTGCGAATAAATCCTTGACGGGTTTGTGAACCAAAACAATCACGGGAAAGAGTTGATTATTCAGTTCTCAATGGATGATATCGAATTATTGAAGAAACTCTCTGAGTATTTTTCAAAAAGATATTTCGATCTAATATTTTACTCGTATATGTGTCTCTTGTTGTGGCAGTGGCATCATTATGTGCGCTGGTATCGTGCGTTATCATATGATTCTATTGGTATTATATGCATGTGCTTCTGTGTTGAAGTTTGTCCTTTAAAAGACTTTCTATCCTTTTCTTCTGTGTTCTTCTTTGTTTTGTTAGCTGTTTACTTAGTACTGACAGGCCACATTCTACGCATCGGTTACAAATAGCTAGTATTGATATGTAACATACATCAGACTACTTACTATCATGCATTCTCTGAAAAAAATAGTAATAATACTTTAAAAGTTTATTAAAGGGAATTATAAAGTATCGTTCATTTGTGTAATGTCCGTAAGCCATGGCGTTTTAAAGGAGAAAAACATGAAATAATGCTTATCCACATGATGGCTGCTTGTATTGCTTAGCCCTTTCCATGGATTTTTCTTCTTGCTCGATGTATAACTGAGCCTGCTCTCGAAAAAATTGTCCCATTGTAATCCACAAGCGTTCTAATAAATCATCTGGATGATCGAACATTAACAATTCATCGATATAATCCATTGCCCATTCTGTATGTGACGCCATCGATGCAGAGAAAATAAATATCTGCTTGATATTAGAGGATTGGTGTATTTGTGGTACTAAAAATTTTGCTAGGGAACCAGATGCAACAACAAATAGATTCTGCATCATATGAGATTTAATATATTCGACGCAGTCATCTACTTCCGTAAAGGTTTGCACCCATTGATATTGTGAAAGTTTTTCAAGAAAGCTAGTAGTTGAGTCGACATTTCTATCTAACCAGAGTATATATGTCGACATTTTCCCAGGACACGAATAACTACTAAGTGTTGAAGGTAGTGCTTTCTATATTGTGCTTATAAAGTCTCATCAGCAAAAAAACGAATGACCTGAAGTAAAAGGTTTTTTCCAATAATGAATCATCAGTTTGCAAAGAAAATACCAGCTTATTTATCTGATAATGCTTTTATTTACATAGTTGACTTTACTAGTCAAGAAAATTGCCTTGGTGTAGACATCTAGTACATAAAAACTCTTGGCAACTTCCAAGCTACGTCATTATTTCTTATGTTCCCAGAAATAACATGACGACGATCTGAGACGATCGTGAACGGCCATAATGTGGTCAGATATTTCAGTATCCGACCGTATCCGATCGCTTATGCCACGATGAAAACCGACCGTAATACGGTGCATACCAAACGGTCGTGCACTACCCAAGCTGATCAACCTGGATTGGCAAAAACAACGTTTTTATGTAAACAAGAAAGAAAGTATATAAATTGGTTTTTATATCTTATGGGAGTTGCATATTTAACGTGCTGAAGTTATAACTTCGGCATCACATATATATATATATATAAGAATTCGCCTTTAATTTTTACAAAAAGAAAAAGGTGTCAATATATTACCTATCCTTACTGTCATTTTTCCTTGAAAAATAATATCCAAAATTAAGGAATGGTACAATTCATCTTTTAAAAAGTAGCTGTCTAATTCGAGTTCGAATATAAATGGAGAAAAGAAAAAAGTTAAACTAAATCTAGGAATAGATTTAGTTCTAGTTTAACTTTCCGATATATGCGACATATGAATACATATATACCCTTCACCCGCATCCACATTTGAGCACTCCTCCATGGTATTCCTCACCCACAACCACATTTGAAGTATCCCNGCTAACCCCCCCCCCCCTGCACCTCTTCCGGGTACCTTTCACCCACACACCCGTACCCACCCCTCCACACCCATCCACACTCACACACACACACACAGTTACCCCTTAGTCCCCCTCAACCGACACCCACTCCATCTTAAACTAAATCTATTTCTATCACTTATTTTCGAATTGATACCATGCAGTTGGGTGTGCATTTATATTCGAATTCGAAGTAGGCACCCCATGAATAAATGACACACACAACAAGGAATTCATCTATCTAGGGATTATTTTGTATGTAATGAGTAATAAAAGGGAAAAAAAGGTGAGAAATAACATTAGTGATGGGAAAAGAACAAAACAAAAAAATTAATGACAGGAGGGAAAAAAAGAAAAAGAAAAAGGAAACTACCAATAATAGGGAAGAAAAGTGAAGGAAAAAACCGATCGAGTATCAACTCACGATAGGAAGTAAATAAATAATAAGCATGTTAGTAATGCTTATAGAGAAGGTTTCGAAGTAAGCGGATACGTTGATCGAAAGTGCATGCTAAAAGCGTTCTATGTATTATTTTAGAAATTTTTTATTTTGAGTGATGTTCAAGTAAAAAGAAGGTCGTATATGGATTCATTATTACTGTTACATCTCCAAGACTGATTGGCAAAAGTGGAACTTTTCAAAAATCATACGTCTATTCATTGTATCTCGATGACGGGTTCAACAAGATAACCAATGTCTCTAGACGTTGGAGAAGCATTGCGTGTCAGTGATCATCAATGTTACTCATGTAATCCTACTAATTTACTTAGTATTGCTAGTCAGTGGCGGCGGAGCAACTGAGGCCTATGAGACTCGAGCCTCACCTAGATTTCACAAGATGAGGCTCAGCCTCACTTACTTTTCCACTGAAGATTGTTATTTTTTATTCTTGCATCAAAGCAGGAGCAAAAAAAGTCTTTTTTGGTATTTTCCAATCATCCTTTTTATACTAACCATTTTTATTTTTACTCCAGTTCAATAAAAAGAAGACTTATTTTCTACTTGATGCGTTCATAAAATTCCACGGTAGAAAAACATTATGAGCCTCACCTAGCGTCATGATGTTCCACCGCCCCCTGGCTAAAGTAGATATATGCATCTGGATTAGGAATAAAAATGAAAGATTCAGCTTTTGTTGCCATTAATTTGTGATTATTTTGTCTTTATCGATTGCATATATGCTAGATGTGAGGGCTATCAAATAGCCAGTTCTTTTTTGTTGGCACGGAAGTTTAAAATAGAACTTACGATTACGACTAAGAATTTCGCATACAAACGTTTTTATTAGGCGTAGAAATGGCATAATGATCGATACTGCGTGTTTTGCATTCTCAGGAGATTCAATCCGACCAGGGGATCCGATCGTTTCCGGCATCGGATCCTATGGATTCCGTTGCTTTTCGGCCGGTTCCGTTGAATTCCGACGATTTCCTAACTAACGGATCCCCGTCCGGTTTCCGCCGGAAAAAATCCGTTAATTTCCGCGAATTTTCGACCCGGAATTCGTCAGAAATCGACGGAAGCTATGGGAATCGATCGGAAATGATCCAACCAAATCTGGACCGGAATCCGTTACCCAAGCAGACAAACTTTCTCAAACACGCGTGTAAACACCGTAAAGTAGCCTTTTCTGAGTGTTTAAACGCGTCTGGGAAAAAGTGGTCGTGTAAACGCCGTAACTCCTGAATTATCGTGCGTGTAGCCGCCCACTTTATCTGTATTAAATCTTTAAAGCCGTGTAAACGCAATGGAACTCAGTTTTATCACCGTGTAAACGCACAGAAAATTCCGCACGCGTGTAAACCATCAGAAACTATGAATTCCTCGCGTTTCCCCATA